TATCTTGTTTGTGGTTTCAGCCTATAGAAGGGTCCGGGCAGCAAACAGTTTTAACTGTCACTAACAACACAACTACTGAGACTGCCAAAAAGGCTCAGAAAAAAATTGAAATTCCACTTAAATGCTCTAATGATAACAATCATAACATCACACAAGCCTGTCCAGCAGATTACCCTGAAACACTAGAGTTGGATCCTGATGCTCCACCTCCTTCTACACGTCCCGAGTATTTTCGATTGATATACGAAGATCTACGGCTTTGGGAGAAGAATGGTATTACAAGAGAGATGGTGGTAGGAGCTAAACCAACTGCCAATTTTAGATTGGTTATCTCTAATGGAAAGGCTTATGTTGAGAAGAACCATGAGTATTGGCAAAAAGATAGAGATATTTTCACTCTTTGGGGGATTTTACAGTTGTTGAGGCTGTACCCTGGTAGAGTGCCTGATTTAGAGCTCATGTTTGACTGCAATGATTATCCGAGAATTGAAAAAAACCATCATTGGCCCTTCAGTACTGCAGCTCCCCCTCCATTGTTCTGTTATTGTGGAGATGATAAAACATGGGATATCGTTTCCCCTGACTGGTCTTTCTGGGGATGGTAAGGTTATAGTGGTTTCATATATGGTTATGCTGCTATTAACTCCTGGATTTGATGCAAGTTAAAATTATATGTTTGTACATATATAATGTAGGTAGCAAGAAGAGAAGTAGATGTTTCAATTCATCTGTCATATCACCTCACATGTAATTGCTCACTGAAGAATATCTGTTCACAGGCCTGATGTAAATATAAGGCCATGGGAGTTTTTATCGAAGGACCTTAAAGAAGGCAACAAGAGAGTGAAGTTTGCAGACAGAGAACCTTATGCTTACTGGAAAGGAAATCCCAATGTTGCACCACACAGGAGGGACCTTCTTAAGTGTAATGTCTCTGACACGCAGGACTGGAATGCTCGCTTATATAAACAGGTAAAATGCTCTTCATTACTTTGTTATTTCCAACATTATTAGTCTTTCCAGTATTTCAGTATGTGTAGAAATATACCAGTTGATATCTATTCTGCTGCTATGGGCATGATTGGATTGGGGGTAATGTGTCAAGAGGGTGGTGCTAGATAGGATGTGGAAGTCATCCGATCTTCTCCAACCAATCAGAAAGGAAAGTAACAGCCAAAATATATACTGATAGTTGTCCTCCAAAAACAAATGTAGGATTGGGCTAAAGAAAGACAAGAAGGATTTAAGCATTCAGATTTGGCAAGCCAATGCTTAGACAGGTACATGACATGCATGTTTCATGGAGTGATTTCCTAGTTTCTTCAATTGATCTTTGCCTTATTAAAGCTATACCAATATCTGATAGATTCTTACTTGTATGGCTTGGACTAGATATAAGATCTACATTGAAGGATCAGCATGGTCAGTCAGCGAGAATTACATCCTTTCATGTGATTCTGTTACCCTGCTAGTAAAGCCACTTTACTACGATTTCTTCTCTAGAAGTTTGATGCCTATGCAACATTATTGGCCTGTCAGGGGGGATGACAAGTGTAGGTCTATTAAGCTCGCTGTAGAATGGGGGAATAAACACATGGATAAGGTAACAGAGTTTCCTAGTTCTTCTCAGTATTTGAAACATCTTGTTCTTGTTGGTGGAAAGTGTTTAACTCCTGCAAACCAAAGCTATTACATCTGTTGCTGGTAGTCTTGTATACCCAAGTTTTGAAATTTTACATTGGGATGAAGGAAGTGCAACTTTTTGCTGTTCGTAGTTTATAGTGTTTTAAGAGTTGTTACTCTCAAAGTTTTTTCATTAAATTTATTCAAGGTGTTCTTTTTCAGGGTAATCAGTAATGAGGTTCACAACTTCACATTTGGTGATTTGCATTAGTTTTAGTCTAGTAAGCTGTTTAATTGATACAATTTCATAATTTTATCAGGCTGAGGCCATTGTGAATGCGGCCAGTGAATTCATTTTGGAAGATTTGAAGATGGACTATGTATTTGATTAGATGTTACATCTGCTCACAGAATATGCCAAACTCTTAAAATTCAAGCCCAAGATACCGAAAAATGCAGTGGAGCTTTGTTCGGAGACCATGGGGTGCCCTGCAGTGGGTTTACAGAAAAAGTTTATGATGGAATCACTGCTGAAGAGTCCTTCAGATACAGGTCCATGCACCATGCCTCCTCCTTATGACCAGACTGCTCTCCAAGCCCTACTGAGGACTAAAAACAGTGCAGTGAAACAGGTGGAAAGGTGGGAGAAAGATTATTGGGTTAATCAAACTCAGTTGCAATAGGCAGGTCCTATTTTTATGCTCATAAAGTCATGATAAACATACATGTATACTTTTCTGACTACACATATTTAGTTATTTTTCCTTGTAGCAGTTTGTATGAATCTCCTACTTAAGCATTATTGTGTTTGCAGGCCCTGATGATCCTAGATGGTTAAGCGCGGAGGTAGACTGGCTGTTTCCCTGATGCATCTTTAGCTTGTTTACCTTAATATTAAGGTATTTTCTCATGATCATCACAACAATATTTTTATGCTCTGAGTCTTCTGATAGTGGTACTAGTATGCCAGTATGCCATCAGATGCTCGGTTCAATCCTTGTGGTACACCAGTCCTTGTTTTGAGCACGGTCATTTTTTATCTTTATGGTTCACCCTGAATGATTTGTGCTGGTCAGAATGGGATAATATCTGGTGAGGAGAGCTTCATCCAACTGAGGACAAATAGATTGACCCCATTTTGATCAGCTACTAGGCTCCTTAGCCACGTCGCCATGATATATAAGCCCGAGACATAACACTACAATACGCTTGTCCCCGTACGTTCTAGACCATTACGTCTTCCTTCCAAAACCAGTTTCTCCAATAGAAGTCTCATGACTCTCATCTAGCTAGATGGCTAAGTGGTGCAGGACCAAATAAAACTAGCTTAGCCAGTGAATTTAAAACAGGTTGCTTGTCATTTGTATTGTCAATTTGTGATTTATAGGGGCCACTTTGCACGAGGTGTAGTGATGTAAACGTATAATGAACGTAACTTAGGACAATTTGCTGTTGTGGGGCTTGAATATTACGAAGATAAGTCCCTGTTTTTTTTGGGGTGGGTCTATCATTAGAGAAAAAGTACATATAATGATGATAATTGTAGGGTAATCGGTGCTAACTTGCATGCCTTTTGATTTGTCTCCGCCCGTTGGATTAAGAATATTATTGGTTTTCATTATTCTAACTGATTTGATAAGATTTGACTTATTGTGATCGTATTGAATCTTTACTTATTTAATTGTTAATTGTTTTATTTGATTTAAACGTTGTTGCATTTAAAAGAGACCTGGAAGGTTTCTACTCCTTAAATGTCTAATTCATCTCATGATTCTCACATGAAGCTCAACTTTATAATCACTAAAAAACTTTCATACTTATTCATTTGATAGAAGACTATACAGTACATTGATATAGATCCTTGTGCTTGAAATTCCAAATACTTGCAATATCAGATAGATACACATTGTCAAACACCACTGACACTATACATACAAATTAATACAACACTTGCTTATTGTTTTCGTATACTTGCAACACTTTTCTTATTAGCATAAAACCAAAATGATTGAATTGTTTCTATTTCGCTAACACCAATTGAACTGATTCTCTATTGTTTTTCTATCACATAAACAATAAAGATATGCCTAATTACCCCGTATTTATATTTATTGTAACTCAGAATTCTTCCTAAATTCAGAAGTATTTGTAAACTCAAATGTTACAACTTACAAGTATTTATAAATAGAGAGACTTATAAACAACAAGAATGAAAATGAAATATTATCAAACATTCAAAGAAAGGGAAGAATTCCATTATATTGCCAAACCCAACAACCAACTCATATTAAATCCTTTTTTGGCAGCACACAATAGACCAATGTAGTCCAACTAGGCAATTAGCCATAATTGACTAGTTGTACACCATATTATTAACTTCAATCCTAAAAGCTTTCTTCCCCTCACAACAAATAACATTGATTTATTGTTTGACTTAACTCCTTAGAATTTGGGGTTGTGATTGATCGATCGAGTATTCAACTGACCGATCGAATTTAATGCTGCTCTTAAACTAAGAATAAACCCGTTACATGCCACTACATGGCTACATGTAGCATGTAGTTAGGTCATGTACTACTACTACTACTAAACTATTTAACACCTCCCTAAAAACCCAGAAAACACATACTTAAATCAATTTCTTCCATTAGTAACGTAACAAAACATGTTAGAATGCTTCCAACATTAATGGTTATGACATATCTTCGTAGAATTGGGGTGCGGTGATTGACCTTTTGTGCATTTACATCAACTTCTTTTATACAACAATCTTAACAAGCTAAACTATATAAAATTTATACTAAAGGCTTTAATTATATTTAGAAAAATGATACTCTGTATGTAAATTTCATAAATTTGCAAATAACAAAACTAACCAAAAATGAAAATAATCAAACATTAATCAGAGTACTTGATTTTGACATTGATTTTGAAGTTATATCGATTTAAAATATATTTAACGCGTATACTTTATTTCTCTAAGAACTGAACTTATATAATTACCCTTGTATATAAGTGTGTTTTATTTATTTTTCTATTATTTAATTTAATACTTCGCATGAGATTTCATTTTTACTTTAAATGAGATAGATTCATTTTTTTAGTCACAAATCAGTCAAGCTATCAAAGAAAATGTTTGATAGTGATTAGTGGCAGGGGAAGATAAGATAATACCAATCATAATTAATCTCCAATTAAATCAAGCAAGTTAAGCTTAAATCAATTCCGTTTGTATCTATTCACATATATTTATTGTGATCACCAAGACATAAAATTACAAGTCCAATCAATTAAACTAAAATCATATCATATAAATTACATTTCCTACTAGCACACAAGTGAAAAGAGTGAATAACAAACCCATTAGTATCCAAATTGATTAACCCCAAAATAACTTGAATAATTGACACTAACAACCCATACTAAAACATCTAAGGAAAAAGACAAACCATATTACAAAAACTATACCCCACTTTACATTTTTTTTCAATTTCTCACTCTTTTTTGTCTTTTTACTTCTGCTTTCTTTTCTTTCCTCTTCCACGTTCTTCCACTCTAGTACAGTTTCTTTCTCCTTTCCATTTTTTCGTCAAATATATTACACTCTTTCACTCCACCCCTTTTCTTCACGGACTTCCTCTTTCTTTCAATCAATCAATCACTTTCATTTTTATTTGTGTTTCTTCTGATCTGGTTGATTATTTTCAAATAATTTTCTTAATCGTAATTTGATTGAATCTCAATTTGATTTCTGGGATTGATGCTCTTCAGCTCGAATGTAAGATGATGAATGGCAATTTTGTGAATAAATCGAGTAAATCGGGGTATTTTGGGCAGATATTCGAGATGTTTTTTCGGCCATTGATCCACTCTCCTGCTAGATCTTCGATCGTTGTTTTCTTGTTTCTCTCTCTTCTCGTCGGTGCTTTCCTCTCTACTCGTCTCCTTGATTACTCTGTAAGTCTTTCTTTTTCTTTTTATTTTTATCTGTTTTGATTAAAAACGTTTTTGTTTGGCGGATTTTAGTGCGAAATTTTAATTAAATTACTCTGTCAAAAAACATTTAAATTACTCTGTATGATTTTTATTTATTTTTTTAATGTAGAAAGATATATTATGAAAAGTTGATATTTCTTTAAAAAAAAACTTGATAATAGTAATACTATAATATGTAATCCCGAACATGTAAATGTTGCAATTAATAAAAAACGGGAGTAGTTTTCGTATTTGTTTACTTTGTATTAAAATTGTAGTTTTCGTACAAGTGTGTTAGTAAACATAATGTTGGAAAAACCTGAAATTGGATTGGAAGAAGAATCTGGAGTTGCGTTTTAAAGAAGTTGCACCCAAAACGGTGTGAACTAGTGACTGTAGAGGTTAAACGACGTCGTATAAAAATTTAGAATTTTTTAATTTTAAAAATAGGAAGGAGTACTTTTTTTAGGGAAGAGAGAGAAGAATGTGGTGAGGGAAGAAGATGGCCGAGATCTGCTGCGTGGAGTAGGTTACTGGGGTCCACAATGAGGAACTCAATGAAACACGTGGACAAATAGTGTGGATCTTCCAATTTTTTTTAAAAAACTTAATTAGCTAGTTTGACTCCACGTGGACTCATAGTTATTACCCCTTTGTTGTTTTGTACTGCGTTAAACGGTAATAAACCAATTACGGAGTACCAAACTACCAAACACTCAACACACTAGCATGCGTAACATTGTAGTACGGGTAGAAGTTATTAAATGCATTGATGTAGACGGGTCGAGGTGTTAATTTGGGTCATCGATCAGGTTTGGGTTAAAGCATTTTGGATTGGGTTACTTTAGTCTAGGTTGGGTTGTTTCGGGTACCAAACACCTCTAAAACGAGAATCACGGGATTGATGAAAGTTACTCGTATGTTAGCGTGAATGCAAACTAATAAAAGTTGAATTTTTCTTACCTACTCCATATTTTTTAAGACAACATTACTCGTAGGTTAGTACGAGTACAATCTAAATCACTACGAAAATTGGACTGGTGTAAGTTATGTAATGCAATGACGTAAATGAGATTAGTTAAATTACTTGTTGGTTAGTATGAGTACATACTAAAGCACCCATGTGTATTTTGCAAAAATTGCATTTCATGAGGGTGTATTAGGAAGTACAGTGGTTGGTTATTTTTTTTATTCCCTACATTTCTTAATTGATTTCTTGTTCACAGATTCCCAAAGTTTTGTATTTTTATTATTTCCTGACAATCTAGTGAAAGTAGTGATCCAAAAGACCCTCAATTATTAATAATGCTTCCACATCTTTTTTAACTATATTTGATAGTCAAATATAGTAATGACATTTGATAATCTAGTGCTCTAAAGATCTGGACAATTATTTTCTTAGTTAGAGTGTGATGTCATGAACCGATGGAGGCCATGTACTGTGCAGTGTGCACAGATCATTGACTCTAGAACTCATACATAACGACATTATCTTGAAATTTCCAGTATTAGTAGCGTATTTTTGAGAGAAAATGGAATAGTTTACGCATGATTAGCACATAAACAAGATGTCTGAAACAGTGTCGGTTTATTTTACTCTGATTAATTTGTATTTTAAACTTTACTTAACATGGGGTGGTTTATGGTTAACACTTTCTAGATTTGGAACATGGTACTGTATGACTATTGTTTCATGCTTCTTGTGTGAAGTACATATAAAAGACAAAATCAATGCAAATGTATGTAAGCTCTGATTTAGAATTGTCCCTTGTTTGTGTCCTGGTAAACCAACACTATTTAACGTATTCAAGTAATTGAATAAATACAAATTAACTCACTCTATTGCTAGTCTATAAGTAGCCAAGATTGGAGCTCTAAACATGACTGGATTGATTGGATTCCTTGCATTCCCAAAAACCTAAAAGCGATAAAAGAACTCAAAGAATTAATATTTGCAAAGGTCAATTAGAATTATAAATAGTGTTCATAGCTTACCTTTTGTGCATACCATATGGTACCTAATCATCTTCATCCAACAGTAACTTCATCACATTTATATGATATAAATGCCACGAATTAGCTTCCGCTGTGAATCCCCTATCACAAACTAGAAATATGTTAAGTGGCTGTAAATCTGTAACTGATTGTCTGATGGTACAAGTTGCATTTCATTTTATACATATTTTGATAAACAAGAATTGTAGTGTCAATCTGTAAAACTAAAAGTTGGTGTTGAAGATGGAGATTTCGCATATTATAGTTATTCATGAACCTCATTTTTCCCACTTGGAATGTATGAATATTGAATTCAAGTGCCATGGTGCAAGGCCCCCTAAGGGCCTAAGCTAACATATGGAAAAGCCTTCACTCCTGTTGAAGATAAATTATTTGTTGATGTCCAATTCATCAAACTAGTTGCAGTGAGTCCAGTGACTAGTGTATATTTCTTCGTAAATGAAAGTTCTGCTAATGTTACTATATGCACTAGCTTGGTGATGGTTTTCTAATCTAATTATGGTTGATATTTTTCTCATTCTGAACTTACCCAGTATCTTACTGTTAACATGTATCTTATCTTGGTTTTGATTGCAGTCTAATGTTGAAAGATCCACGCAGCAAGCTTTTTCATCTGTCATTTCAAGTAGTCAGATGGCAACATCAGATACTTCACAATATACCAACTCTAACAACACGACCTCTGAGACACCCAAAAAGGCTCACAAAAAAATTGTAATTCCACTTCAATGTTCTGATGATAACATGACACAAACCTGCCCAGCAGGTTATCCTGAAAAACTAGAGTTGGATCCTGATGCTCCTCCTCCTCCCACATGCCCTGAATACTTTCGATGGATATATGAAGATCTTCGGCCTTGGCAGAAGGACGGTATAACAAGAGATATGGTGGAGGCAGCTAAAAGAACTGCCAATTTCAGATTGGTGATATCTAGTGGAAAGGCCTATGTTGAGAGATATCAAAAGTCATGGCAGACCAGAGATGTTTTCACCCTCTGGGGAATTTTACAGCTGTTAAGGAGGTACCCTGGTAGAGTGCCAGATTTAGAGCTCATGTTTGATTGTGTTGACTGGCCAGTAATAGCTAAACGCTTTCATCATCCCAATAATGGGGCTCCTCCTCCGCTGTTTCGTTATTGCGGAGATGATAGAACATGGGACATCGTATTCCCTGATTGGTCCTTTTGGGGATGGTAAGTTTACAAATTTTCCATAGCTGCTTATGTTGCTATAATACAAGCTTGCGATTCAATATAGAAGTTACTTTCCATGTGGTGAATATATGTTCTCTGACTTTTTATTTTGAGTTGGAAACCTTTTTCACTTCCTGAGGGATTGGGCAGGATGGCTGTATTACTTGACCTTGACCTAATTTATGATGCTCAATAACACATTCCCAGAGCCTAATGGCTTCACCTTGGCAAACATTAATATCTTTGTCATTACATCTTTATATTTTAAACCACCTTAGGTTGGTACCTGCTGCATACTTTCATTAGACTCTTTTACAGCTATATTGCATTATGTAAGGTCTACAATCATGCAATTATTTATCTTGTTACCTTCTCAACACTTTGCTGCGGCCAATTAGGTTGCCTCTGGTTCAATTAGTATTTGGTTCAATGTTCATTTTTCAAGATAAATTAAATAGATGATGAAATTTTCTTGTACAATCCAGTTCTAACATCAAGAAATTTTCTTAGTATTTGGTGAAACTTAGCAGTAATGCTTTTTAGAGTGATACTGGCTGATTAGCCATATCCTAGTTTCACTAATATATTTCAATCCTCATATAAGCATAACAGCTGCCAGTTTGCTGCTGATACACAAGAAATGTGGGTAGCCAGAAATCCAGAATTGCAGTAACAATTTCATATCTTAATTATTTCACATGAAATTTAGTACTGAACATTATCTGTACGTAGGGCCGAGATTCACATGAAGCCATGGGAGTTTTTATCGAAGGACCTAGAAGAAGGAAACAAGAGAATGAAGTTTGAGGAGAGAGAGCCTTATGCTTTCTGGAAAGGAAATCCCTTTGTTGCTCCACACAGGATGGACCTTCTCAAGTGTAATGTCACTGACAGGCAGGACTGGAATGCTCGCTTGTATATACAGGTAAAACATTTCCAATGTCTTGTTCTTTCTAGGAGCTGTAAGTTTCTTTCACTATTCCACACTAGCAATTACTCCGAGTTATTACTGATTCTTGGTGCCTAGTGCTAGTTTTGATAATTGTATCATAGGATAGCTTTCTATAGTGGTAATAGGATTTTAATCTTACTTCTCAACCAGTCAGAATGGGAATTAACATCCTACTGACAATTTTCCATAAAAACAAATGTGCAGGATTGGGGTAAAGAAGCACAACAAGGATTTAAACAGTCAGACTTGGCAAGCCAATGCGTAGACAGGTACATGCCATGCATATTTCATGAGTGATTTCCTAGCTTCTCAGAATGATCTTGCTTTACTAGAATCTACTATCTTCAAATTTGGTGAATATCTTGTATGTCTTGACTAGATACAAGATCTACATTGAAGGATCAGCATGGTCAGTCAGCGAGAAGTATATCCTCGCATGTGATTCTGTTGCTTTGATAATGAAGCCACTGTACTATGACTTCTTCTCGAGAAGTTTGATGCCTTTGGAGCACTATTGGCCTATCAGTGTGGACGACAAGTGTAGGTCTATTAAGTTCGCTGTTGAATGGGGGAATAATCACATGCAAAAGGTAAACCTTCTATACAAAGTTCTATTAATTTCTTGGCCTTTGATGTGGACTTTCAAACTTAATATAAATGGCAGAGTTGGTGTCTATGTGATAGGAGTCAGAAATGTTGCACAAGGGGGATCTCGTTGAGCAGAGTAATTAGATAGAAAGATAGTGGAGTCGGGGAGATGTGTGCGTGTCCTCCAAGCATATTAAAAGAACCTTGAACAACAGTCTTAACATAATTTTCATTTCCAATATTGGTAAACTCATAGGAAAGTTTGTCAATTGACTTGGATTATTATGCAGAGTTGTGCAACAATATACACTACTCCCTAGACCTGGGACTTACGTTAACCATCTAAGATACCTAAAACTGCTAGAGCTGACAAAGATAGGAAAGAATGTTTCATAATACAACTAGAAAATCTGTAATCACAATATATTCTCTTTACGTACCTGTTACACTATGCAAGATGATGTACCAAAGGTCATTAGCAACCCCACTTTTTTTTTTTTTTTTTTATTCTTTTTATTATTTTTAATTATTTATTATTATTATTATTATTATTATTATTATTATTATTTTTTATCATTAGTGTTCCATCTTGATGTAGGGAGCATAACTATTGTATCTTACACAAAATTCAGAAATTGTCATTGCTTGATGAAACTGAGACCTTAAACATGGATCAAATACTCATCTGAGTAATTCTTGCAACTAACAGTTCAGCTTTTGTTATTAACTACTAGAATTCAACTAGGAGCAAAGACTGCTAATTGCTTAAGCAGACTTCGCTACTTTCTTAATCCTGATATCACGTTCTCCCCCCAAAAAAACTAATGTATCAGTCTTTAGTGAGGTTGTCATGTGCTGCAATGAATTTGGATGAAAATGCATTAGTTTAAACCTCGAAATCTGTTTAATTAATGTTTCATGTATTTATCAGGCCCAGGCCATTGGGAAGACTGCCAGCAATTTCATTCTAGAAGATTTGAAGATGGACTATGTATATGATTACATGTTGCATCTGCTTACTGAATATTCTAAGCTCTTAAAATTCAAGCCCACAATATCCAAAAATGCTGTCGAGCTTTGTTCAGAGACTATGGCGTGCCCTGCAGTGGGATCAGAGAAGAAGTTTATGATGCAATCTCTGGTGAAGGGTCCTTCAGATACAGCTCCATGCAGCATGCCGCCCCCTTATGACCTGGCTGCTCTTCAAGGTTTTCTGAGGAAAAAAACCAATGCAGTGAAACAGGTAGAAAAGTGGGAGAAAGATTACTGGTCTAATCGAACTCAACAGCAATAGATAGGTCTTTACGCTTTAGATAGGTAAAAAGAAAATCATAAAAGTTCTTGTTATTTATTAGACCAAGCGCTTTATGCTCAAATTTTTTGTTATTATTATCATCGGAGTGTATTTACAGACTATACACGACACTAGATAGATATATGTAGAGATTTTAGTGAGACTGGAAATTTTATTCCTCCATATTATTCTTCCTACCTATATAAAATGATTCAACGAATCAGATGATACACTCAGATGTACATAACTTTAGCTTATTACGAAATGTAGGTAAAATAAAAGTAGAAATTATGATTTTATTTTTATTTTTATTTTTTTTGTATTCAAATTTGGATGGTACGCCAGAAGGTTTTAGATGAGAAAGTTATATGGACATACATAAATACATAATACAGAAATAGTTGATATTCAAAGTGCCTAAGTAAAGAAGTTTGTTTAATACTTGTATGACTAATTTGTGTTATTTTCTTTTTTGTGGTGTAAACCTTTAGTTATTCACACACTATAAAAGAAAGATTGATGTTCATGGTATGCATTAAACATGACACTTGCACCAAAAAAATGAATTAAATATGACACAACCTAACAAGAAAAATACTCGGCACATCATAAGCCTAGGTTAGGAATGGTATTGTGCATGTAGGGTTGTAACCCATGCCTAATCCACATTTGTTTTGGATATGCTTGGTAAGACATAGACCAACATGAATACATGATAAACTATAGTAAGGCAAGTGAAATTTGACTTAACCATGCAAATATAATACTACATGACCCGATAATAAGTGGACCTCAATCGTGCCTAATTCATTTTTTAATACTGTAATTCAACACGTCAAGTGGCTAGTTGAATAGCTGATTAGGCTAAATTGATGCGAGGTCGACAAGTCACAACCATCTTTATTACACCTACTCGTATCATATGACATATGCTCGTAAAAAATAGGGAATAAAAACCAAAAAGGTAAAGCAGGATAACAGAATCGGTCCATCACTTCCTTTTCGGGTAGACCCGGTCCATTACTTTTCATCACTCGCAACTCTCACAATAGCACTACAACAGCACTGCTTCAATTTTGTTTCCCTGAAAAAGAGTAGGGTTCATAAAAACCACTAATTTTCTCCGTTGCTCAACATCCTGCAAAAAGATGAGAAATTTAGCAAAATCTCTGCAAATTTCATCAAATCTATGGCGTTCTTCAATAACCCACAAACCATTATCTTCATCTTCAACCTTCTTATCTTCTTCAGAACCCTTAATTACCCAGGAACCAGTCTCAGAATCTTCATCATTAAACCAATCCCAAATCTCAAATGATTTAAACGAGGCTAATTCCCAAATACCCATCTCACAAAATCATCAAAATCCCACAAATCTTTCTCAGTCTGATGATGCAACTGAATTATTGAGCTCAAAGGACCAACCCTCTGCAATGTCATACTACAAATGGGCTGAAAATCAACCTGGTTTTGGTGATGGGGTTGAGTCTTTCTGTTTATTGCTGCACAATTTGAGGGGTTTAAAGTTTCAGCAATCGGCGGTGAAAGAATTGGTTTCAGCCCCGAAATTTCCTGATGCTACTACTATGATTCAAGGCCTCAATGATTGCTCCAAAAGGTTTGATTTCGAATTAGATTCGCGAGATTTTAATTACTTGCTATTTGGATATCTTGCAACTGATAGATTTGATGATGCAATTAGTTGTTTTAATTGGATGCTTGATAATAACATTGATGTGTGGGTGTCATATGTGAATGATATTATTCAAGTGTTAGTGTTTCAGAAGAATATGATGAAAGAAGCTAGGGAGTTGTATGATAAGTTGTGTTGTAGAGGTTTTGTTGGGAATAATGCTACTGTTCGTTTGATGATGAGGGCTTGCTTGAAAGATGGGGAGCTGAGTGAGGCGGAGCGATATTTTAGATTAGCAAAGGATAAGGGGGTTGAATTAGATCCGGGCGTGTTTAGTTGTGCTGTTGGAGTTGTTAGTAAGAAACCTGATTGTAATGCAGCTTGTGAGCTGTTGATGAAGATGAAAGAGAAAGGTTTTGTGCCCTCTGCGGGTACCTACAACCAAGCTATTATCGCGTGTGTGAAGCAGCAGAATTTGATGGAAGCTTTGAGACTGAAAGATGAAATGATGTCAGATGGAAAACCGATGAATTTGGTCGTTGCTACGAACTTGATAAAGGGGTATTGTTTATCGGGTGATTTGGAGAGTGCTTTAGGCTTGTTTGCTAAATTAGCTGAGCATGAACTTACACCAAATATAGCCACTTATTCAGTTATAATTGATGGATGTTGTATGAAGGGGGATATGGAGAAAGCATCTGAGCTTTTTGATCAAATGACTGAAAAGGGTATCAAACCCAGTGTCTATAATATTAATTCATTGATTAAAGGGTTTCTGAAAGGTCGGTTATTGGAGAAAGCCTATGATACGATTAACAAGGCGGCTGAATCTGGTTTGGCTGATGGATCCACATTTAACATATTAGTATCTTGGCTTTGTAGAGATGACAAGGTGGATGAAGCTCAAAAGATTTGGGATAAGATGATAAGATGTGGAATCAGACCTAATGTAGTTAATTATAACAACCTAATTTATGGTTATTGTAAGATAGGAAACGCCGCTATGGCACATAGCATGTATGTTGAGATGATTGCTAAGGGTGTGAAACCCAATGCTATCACCTTAACAATATTAATAAGCTGGTATTTCAAGAAAGGCGAGGTAGAGAAAGCTTTGAAGTTGTTTGATGAGAGGGTGCACCTAAGGATTGATTGTACAGATTACACTTACAATACTGTTATTGATGGATTGTGCAAACATGGCCAAACATCGTATGCGAGGAATCTACTAGAGAATTTTATAAAGAAAGATAATTTCATACCATCTTGCATGACTTACAATATGGTTATTGATGGATTATTGAAGGAAGGTGATCTGGATTCTGCATTTTCTGTTTATAATGAGATGAGCGAGAAAGGAGTCTACCCAACTGTTTTCACATACACAATTCTAATTAATGCATGCTGCAAGAGCAATAATTTTGATCTTGCTTTGAAAATGCTCAATGAGATGATAAGCAAGGGTCTTAAATTGGATATTACCGCATATGGCACACTTATTGACGCTTTTTGCAAAAGAAGGGACATGAAGAGTGCGTGTAAACTTTTTGATGAATTTTGTGAAGCAGGGTTGTCTCCAAACATATATATTTATACTTCCATGATCAGTGGTTATAGAAATATAAATAACATTGAAGCGGCTCTCTCGTTTCATAAGAAAATGACTGAACAAGGGATATTTTGTGATTTGAAAACATACACCACTTTAATAGATGGACTTCTGAAGGAAGATAAATTGCAATCAGCTTTAGAATTCTATGCTGAGATGGTAGCAGAAGGCATCATGCCTGATGAAATCACTTACACAGTTTTGGTGAATGGCCTGTGTAAGAAAGGCAAGCTGGAAAATGCACGTGAATTTTTCAAAGAGATGGAAGAAAAGGGAGCGACTCCTAACTCCCTTATGTATAATGCTTTGGTTGCCGGGTATTTTAAAGAGGGTAATTTGCCTGAAGCTTTCAAAATGTACGATGAAATGCTCGAGAGAGGTCTTAGTCCAGATAGAATGACTCTTGATTTTCTCATGAACGCAAATTTCAAACCAAGTTACCAATTATCAAAGACTTCAATTTCTTAGCCGTCAGACATACCTATATTCTGCAAAGAGGCCATGTGGTCTGCTTTGCATGAGCTTTTTGGAGACTTTGCAGACAGGTAATGTGCTTGAATATTCTGCTTACTATTATTAGCCTTGCATTTTAGCATCATTGCATTACTAGTGTAATAATAAAAATTTTGCATAAGGGTAAATTACTAAATAGGAGGTTGAACAAAATAGCTACTGTTTGTCAATTGTTTCAATAAATCCTATTATTATATTGATGCTAGACTGTACAATTACCCAGGTATATCTTTTCCACCATGGGTGGAGGGAATGCCATTTTTCGAGCTCTGTGTCATAGCTGCTCTAGAAAAGTCTAAAGCCTCGCGGTTAGAGTTGATTTTTTACTGGTTATTAGGAAGTGTCATTTTATATATTTTTATGGGTGTGAGGATTGTGCAACTCTTAGATTATCTCTGTCATTTAGGATCTCCATCGTATCTTATTTGATTATAATGATGAAGATATAGTGTTGATTCAAATTTTAAGGCAGATTGTGTTCACTTTTTCAAAGGTTTCCTGCTCCTATTACTAATTCTTCACTACTCTGCTGACTTCTGTATATTGTAATCAAAGGCAATTCTATTATGTGTGCTAGTCTAATCTGCTTACATATGAATGAATTAATTACTTGAATTGCATAGACTATGAAGACAAATCTAGACATGTTATTTTTAAGTCCCTACAATTACATGTACGATTTCTTAGCTAATAGCTACGAATTGATTTATTTAAAAAATAACATGCCAGATTCATGCTTAGTAAGCTGTTCGTCAGGCTTGCATACACAGGTGCTGCTGACTCAAATTCCCATTTTGTTGCTCAGTGCATAATTGTTCAGCCTGGATCCTGTACTAGAATCTTTCAGTCGAATCTTTCTGAGCCCATCTGTTAAGGGTTATTCACGGAATGTTATACAATTTGAGTCCTTAACCCTGGAATATGTGTGCAAATTTACCTGGTTGAAGTATCACCTTCCACCCCTCCTCACTTTTTGTAGCTCCCTCATGTCCAAGTTTTCAGAGCTTTTATGTGAAATCATAATCACTTGTTATAAAAATTCTGCAAGTCTTTTGCTAAATTCCTTTCCAGTTTACATATGATGCACCATCTTAACAATATTAAAATTAATGACCTGTATGCTGACTCTGTAGGAAAAGTAAATTGGAAACTCACATCAGCAAAGTACGAGAAGAATGAAGATGGAGAGATATCACAGAAGTTTACACTCCCATCAGCTTGATCAAGCACAAGTAATTGACTAACCGGAGAATCAGACTACTATAAAAAGATATGGGCATGCTTTGTTTTGTCTGGCAGACAGCTATCTTCATTAAGTGAGGTGCGATGTTTATGTTTTGTCTGCCTTTTAAGAACTTTCTTCACAAGACATATTTGCTGCTGCATTTGCCTTACAGTTTGACTGCTACTATATGGTCTATTTTTACCTCAGCTTTGAGTTAACATTGGTCAAGGTTATCTAAAAACATAACATGACCAGAATAAAGTAGTTCTTGACTTGGATCCATAAACCTATAGTTAAATAAATTGCCCCATCTCAATTCCAAATTTCTACCCTGATCTGGTTGATTGTGCTGAATTATTGACTAGCTCTGCCGAAGTACTAGTCATTTAGTAGGTACCAACCCTTCTCAAAATAGACACACAAAAGAAACGCTAACAGACCTCAAAATTCATCTTGAAAACAATTGTATGTCATCATGCTGGATGGCGGGGTCAATCGAATCTTACCATCTTCCAGGGGTATAGTTAATCACACTGATTTTGCAATTCAATTTTAATACTATGGAAACTTTCACTTTGGTTTGATATTATGGAAGGAAAGGAACTCTCCCATTTTCCTTCTAAATCTTTCCAACAATGGAGGGATTTGGCTAATTTTAGATGGTAAGTGGTACTATGCTTTACTAGTATTCTTAATTCTGTGAATATACTCGATTACAAGCTGATGAAATGAAGTGTACTTGTTTCAGGTTTCTTCTGGTGGTAAACGACGTTTCTGTTTGGCCTGGTATTATCCTATACTCTATTAGCTGAAGGTGTTACAGGCTCTATATGATTCTCTCTACACCAGAAAATGATTATTAGATAATGCTGGTTAGATATTATTGTAATTACCTGCTGCAAATCTGCAAGTCTTGCGCAGAAAAGTGTACAATGTAAATGATATGAGATATTTGTAATTTCAAAGTTGTGTTCAATTGTTTTACTGTATTGCTGTTCACTTCACTTCTTGTTTCACATACTCCATATAAAGTTTGATTTTTGAGTAAACTTTTTTTTCCATCATAAATTAGTATGTCATTTTGTCCATTCTTCTTATACAAAGGATACATATGAATCATAGATGAATTAAAAACCAAAGCTAATAATAAAAATTAAGATAATAAAAAAGTTGATTAGAAAAAAATTAAAAAAAAGGAATAAAAAAATTAAAAAAAAGGGGGGTATTTAAAACATGTTGTAGGAGGTGGAATTCAGACAAATATGTTAATTTGTCCTTTATTTTTTACTCATGGTCAAAATTGTGCATTGATAAGTGTAATACTGAACATCCCTTTGTCACATTGTCAAGATTATAACAGTTAAGTACAAAATTAAGCTTAGCATTAGGTTCAAAGGTCATTTAACTCTATTTTATATGAGGAAATCCAACTTTCTCACTGTAATAAACTTGAAAATATATTAGCGGGTGTTTTAGTCATTTTACCTTTAAAATAAGGCCCTTTAGCCATGTTCAAGAAAGGAATTGAAGCTTCATAGCCGCTTCAATAGAGATTGGAGCAAGAAGATGAATAAGCTCATGAGCACCGTCAATGGTGAAATCAATAAAGGACGAAAATCACAAACAAACGACAAACACCTTCTCTTTAGGATTAGCTATTATTCCCCTTAGGTTTTTTTTTTTTTTTTTTTTTCTTTAGAATTTGTTGGATTTGGTGTTCTCCGTTGAAGCAACTTAAAGAAGGAAACAAAGAAGATGAGGGTGGGTTGAGATTGGAGGAGAAAGAAGAAGATGAACGAAGGTATAGCTGGGTGAGGAAGGAAGGAAAGAGGAGGAAGAAACCATGATGGTGGATCATGAATTCAGGATCTGAGGGAGGAGGAAGATGAAGATGATATTTTTTTGAAAAAAAAAAAAAATAGAATGTAATAATATTTACAATATTGCCACTGAGATAAATGTATTCGTTTATCTCAACGAGAAACTTTCTCATTTTATATTTGCAACCATAGTTAGGATAGGAAATTAATTAGTGAGAAACCATTCTAATTCACTGTTCTATTTCTCTCCTACTCCTTCCTCTTTTGTGATTTTTTTTTTTTTTTTTTTTTTTGAGCAAATGAATTACAAGGCATTATAAATTTTTGTAAGTTACAAATGAGATGGAGAGTTTTGAATTTGTGACCTATCATACACATACCCTCAATACTAACCACTATCCTTTGGTTGCAAATTGTCATTCTGCCTCCTTTTTTTGTCACATTTTTTTTTATATATATTTGATCAGTTGATCTTATTGTTGTTCCTTTTGTGATTCACTCTTCTAAACTCTATCTTATTTTCCTTGTTGATCTCAAATATAAATTACACTGTCATAAAATAAAGTAATATGGCCTCATTTGCATTACCTTCTTGTTATAGGAAGCAAACGCATAAGTCAAATTATCATGATAGTGAGAGTGAAGGGATAACTCAAGTAATTAGAGTTTCTTTCCTGGTTTTTAAGGGTTTCTTAGATCGATTCTCATCATCCGCCCTTGTGGCTCTTCAAACACACACACACAAAAAAAAAAAAAAAAAAAAAAAAAAAAAATCATGATAGTTGTAGCAGCTTGTAGCTTCATTTATAGAGTAGAGTTATGCCATTTTATTTCTAGGTTAGAACAAATAGGAATTCAATACAAAAGAGAATATATAACAGCAAATTTTTGGTGCAACAGGCCACATCGTGTGGCAGGGGTTACTCGAGTTATTCAGTCAGGGTTACTCGAGTTATTCGGTCAGGGGTTACTTGAGAGGTTCGGATAAGGGTTACTTGAGGGGTTCACTCGGTCAAGGGTTACTTGAGGGGTTACTCGGTCAGGGGTTACTCGAGTTACTCGGTCAAGGGTTACTCGAGTTACTCGGTCAGGGGTTACTCGGTCATGAGTTACACGATTTACTCGGTTAGGGGTTACTCGAGTTACTCGGTTAGGGGTTATTTAAGGAGTTCGGTCAGGGGTTACTCGAGTAATTTGGTCAGGGGTTACTTAAGGAGTTCGGTCAGGGGTTACTTAAGGGTTCAGTCAGGGGTTACTTGAGGGGTTACTCAGTTAGGGGTTACTTGAGGGGTTTGGTCATGGGTTACTTGAGGGGTTACTCGGTTAGGGGTTACTTGAGGGGTTACTCGGTCAGGAGTAACTTAAGCCCGAGTAACTTGAGTAACCCCGACAACTTGAGTAACCCTTGACCAAGTAACTTGAGTAACCCCGACAACTTGAGTAACCCTTGACCGAGTAACTTGAGTAACCCAACAACTCGAGTAACCCATGACCGAGAAACTCGAGTAACCCCGGAAACTCGAGTAACCCCTAACCGAGTAACTCAAGTAACCCCGGAAACTCGAGTAACCCCTAATCGAGTAAGTCAAGTAACCCCTACCGTACGGTACAGCAGGCCGCGCACAACAAATTGTGAATATATAATAACAAAGGAAACAATTTTTTTTAAAAAAAAATAAAATAAAAATTAACTTGCACCTTAAACGCCTCATCCAAGAAATAAAGAATAATTTCATACAAATCAAAATTTTATACTCATTTGTCACAATTAACAACTTAAATACCAATATGACAGAATGTTAAATTTATACCGATTTGATTAATTGACTAATCAAATGCATACTTTTTTTGCAATTTATATGCCACTATGAAAGCTTTATACCGATTCAATTAATCGATCAATCGGATGTGTACTATTTTTTGCCAATTCATTTAGTGCTTTTGTTTTGGCTAGCCGTGCAAGTGAATTTGGCTTAAAAAAAAAAAAGTAGTGAAATTGGCTTAAAAAAAACAAGTACTCAAATTAGCTTTAAAAAAAAAAAAAAAAAAAACAAGTAGTGAAATTGGCTTCAAAAAAAAAAAAAAAAAAAAAAAAAAAAAAAAAAAAAAAAAAAAAAAACAAGTAGTGAAATAGGGTTTTACTTTCGGCTCCTTCGCACAAGTCGCTCCCATGGTTGCTGCGATTGGGAGAGTTCACTGAAAAATGAAAACTTTGAAAAAATCTCTCTCAATTTCTTCATTGCTTCATCAATCTACAACTACCCATAAACATTTCTGTTCATCTTCAACCTCTCTCACTTCAATTCTTTACTCTAAACTGAAAACCCTTCCTTCCTCAAATCCCCAGAAATCCCAAGAACCCATTTCAGATTCTTCAATCTCAAATGACTCAAATGATCTTGAATCTGCAAATTTACCAATACCCAATTTACGAATTCGTCAAGATCCCGAGACTCTTACTCAATCGCAAGTAATCAACACTTTAGTGATCAAACAAGTTAAGCCTTTGAATGCCTTAAATTACTACAATTGGGTTCAGAAAATACCTGGGTTTGATTCTGGATTTCAAGCTTTTTGTGTTATACTTCAAATTGTGGCAGATGCTGATTTTAATTTTAGGAAGAGGAATATGATTGAGTTGATTTCAAGTCAGGAATGCCCCAAAGATGCTGCCATTGTCGTGCAAGGTCTGGTGGAAACCGCCGAGAGGTTCGATTATCGTATTAAACCTTCAACTTTTGAGTTGTTAATGCGTAAATATGTTCAAAATCATAGAATAGATGATGCACTTGTTTGTTTTGATGCTATGGTTGAGTATTTTGGTGCTGATTTAAAACCATCATATGCAAATTTTCTATTGAGAGTGTTGATTAAAATGGGTCGTTTGAAGTTAGTTGAGGAGTTGCTTAATAAGATGATTTCGAATGGGGTAACTAAAGATGTCAATACCCCTATTGTGCTGATAAAATACTGTGTTGTGATGAAAAAGTTCGAGGAAGCTGAGCAATTGTTTAGGATGTTTAAGGATTTGGGGTATGTATTAGGTGCAAATATATATAATTGTGTTATTGGAACTGTTTGTATGAAACCTGACATGAATGCAGCTTATGAGCTGTTAAAGGAGATGAGAGGTATGAAATATGTGCCCTCTGCTTCTGCCTTCTCGAATGTTATAGTCGCGTGTGTGAAGCAAAGGAACATGGAGGAAGCTCTGAGGATCAGGGATGAGATGGTTTTGTGTAATATACCGGTGGATTTGAATGTTATGACTAGCTTGATAACGGGGTATTGTGAATTGGGTGATTTCGAGAGTGCTTTGAGTTTGTTCAAAAAAAGCATTGAGGATGAACTTTCTCTTCATAGGGTTACCTTCTCGGTGTTATTCCATGGATACCTTAATAAGAGTGATATGGAGGGAGCAATCGAGGTGTTCAACCTAATGATTAAAAAGGGCTTCAAACCAGGACCCAATATAACCTTTTCATTAATCAGAGGGCTCTTGGGTGTTCAATCATGGGAGAAAGCTTATGAACAGCTCAAAATTGCTGTGGAATCTGGTTCTATCAACTATTTCCAATACAGGTTTCTGATGACATGGCTCTGTTTTGAGGGTAAGGTTGATGAAGCTCGGCAGTTGTGGGATAAGATACTGGAAACCGAAAGCTTACCAACTATTATGTCTGATCAATATTTTGGTTCTAAAAAGAAAAGGAATGCTGGTAACTCAGAGGATATGGTTGGCAAGAAGCTTAGACCCAATGCTGCCACCTTTACTGCTATAATGTGGGGGCATTTCAAGAAGGGCGAAGTGGAACAAGCCCTCAAATTGTTTGATGAGATAATGAACCGAAAGATTGTTTGTGAGGCTTACACATACAACACCATCATTCATGGATTGTGCCTCAATGGACAAACTTCTGAGGCGAGGAAGATGCTGGAGAGTTTCACAGCGGTTGGAAAGTTCATCCCATCTATCTCAACTTACAATTTTATCATCGAAGGATTTATCAGAGAAGGTAACATGGAATCTGCATTATCTGTAGAAGCTGAGATGAGAGAAAAAGGAATTTTTCGGGAGACTATGTTGAAGAAATATCAAGTTGACATGTTGTGCAACAGCACACGCCTTGAGTGTGTTGTGAAAATGGTAAGGGAGAAGTTAAACAAGGGTTACGAACTGGAAGTTCCTGCATACGAGCCAATTATCAGTGGTGTATGCCGTAGAAGATGGATGAAATTTGCCTTGATGTTTTATTTAGAACTTCTTGAAAAAGGATTGTATCCTAGCCAACATATTATGAATTGCATGGTTGAAGGTTATCAGAAAGAAGGAAAAAACGATATTTTACCGAAAATAGCTCTTCCTCCGAAGAAAAGGAATATGAATAGGAAAAAGAAAAGGATAGAGCAGATGATTACCTGTAATTCTGAAAAAAATTCTTTCTGCTTAGATTAATAGATTTCACTTTTTTTGTAATTTCTTTTACAAGATCCATGAATCACTGCATTTGAGAATTTGCTTTGATTATTAATTTCTGTCAAATATGATGATTTTGTTTTTTTTTTAATAATTTTTGTACTGTTAGATTTATGATAAATTCCAGGTATTTTTTGGAGTAATACTTTTCAATGAAATATTATTAAATTGGACATATTAAAGCCAATTACTTCTTCCATCTCTAAATAAAATTTTGATTTATTATAGTAACTGAATTTCACAATCTTTGTTATTCAGGAACTCTTTGATGCAAGTCATATTGAGCAAACTAGACTATTATTAGGGGTGAAGGGAGTACAAAAATTTGTATTGCAAGAATGTTAGTTCTTGCAATAGTACTCTGTAGATTGCTCAGCAAGGAATTGAATAAGATGTTTTCAAATGGGATTGCTGGTGATATAGCAACCATACGCGTCATGATGGATGCTCGTTTGAGAGGAGCTTGATTAGGTTGAGTGATGGTTTATAAACGGGAAAATTTGGGGTTAAAAAAGTTTTATTTATTTTCTGAAGTTGTTTGCAAGAAATGTAATTTGAGTGAAGCTCGTGAACTGCTGATGGAGATGAGGGAGGATCATATGAACTTGGTAATTGAATATGCACATTGAAGTGTCACTCTGTATTGTGTGAATGTGTGATCAAGGACTGGGTAGTAATTTGAGATTTTTAGGTTTTACTATAATCAGAGGATGGACTTCCGGCAAAAGATTAAAGGACTTGAGCTGCTTGATCAAACCGATTGGAACATACAGATTTATAAACACTGTATCTTGTTTATTGCAGGGAAGAGATTACTGCTGCAGAGCTGTGACTGACAGTGGCATACAGGGATAACTTGTGACTGTCGTGGGAGCGTTAAAACTAACACCAACATTCAAATAAGGACTAAAGGATTATACAACATCCTCGTTTTTGAATTCTGCAAAAATGGCTGACTATTTCAGATAAGGAAGATGGCGGAGGATTTTGATGGCTACCAGACAAGGTATTATACGAGCTTCAGTGAGTTAACATCTTATTGTTGACACTTGACAGACAATAGTTACAAGGAAGGTGTCCGGGATACTGCATTGTCTTCCTGCACTAAAACTTTGCGGGAGTCCTTTGACATGTTCTTTTATCTCATTTTGCCTTGCTGAACATAAGTCTATTTCATTACCACTTGAATTGGAGAACCAACTTTAGTTATGGCTGCTCTTAATAGGTGCTTCACGTGATTTATAAATGATAATTTACTGAGGCGGACTTGATCAATTTTCCCTATCTTAGACATAACTGCTTAATCACAGGGGAATTCAACATCAGAACCATTCTGATTTTTCAGATCAATTTAAAGATTTATCAATAGCATTTAAATCTAGTAACATAGCATACACAATCTATGGATTTGTTCTTCAAACCCAGAAGTCCTGATTCCAAGTTATTGGTCTTAACCTAGACTAACGTCGTTTAACTTGTTTTCAGAAAAAAAGCACGCAAGACCCGAGACTAGTGGTTTTGGATATCAGCAAAATTATGGACTAACGACATATTTCTACAAAGAGATCCAAACTACATATTTCAGCAATTTTTACAAGTGGTTTTGGATATCAGCAAAACTTATGGACTAACTGCATATTTCTACAAAGGGATCCAAAACAACACAATCAGAAAGCATACAAAAATGAAAAATCTAACAAATTACAGAATGAATGTTCTATTATTAGTTTTCTATCAACGCACTTGTCTAATACACTTAATGATTTTATCTGGGGGAAGGGGTGTACATCAAGGTCCTGGAATCGACGCTTCCTCTAGATGATAATTTAGCTACGGTTGGAACATTAAATACCTTTGACAAAAATTATACATTATACTACCTCTGATGAAGGTGGAGGTAGAATTTTACTTGCCTGGCCTCACCTCTGAACGCCTCAAAGCCCTCAATTGTGTGCCAAAATCTGGCCTCAACTCTCAGTAACCACTGAAGTCTAGCAGTAATTCAAGGCCATATCAGACTGCAAATTAAGATCTCCAAGGATATAAATTATATACAAAGATCAGCCTTTGCATACTTGATTGGACACCTGAGGAACGACTAGCTGACACAAATACCAAAGCACTCAGATCACTATGAAGCAGTAGGAGATGGTTGTTGTTGATCGGTTGGGACATTGTTGAATTTTCCACTATATTGCCTTCCTTTAAAGCTGCTATATCTGCTTGGTTTAGGAAGAAATAGGGCCATAATCATTTTTTCCAGAGACTGAGCTGTATACTTTGCATACTTACTAGAACTTGAATCTTGTTCTACCAGAGGACCATAGTTCTGCATGTAGCTACGATATACAGGCACTATTGCCTGTACTATAAGCTGCCATGTTTTCTCTCTCAACTCCTTGTCTGACACAACCCAGCTGGACTGCTTCTTATACATTTCATCAAAAGTCTCATTGAATTTCTTTAGACGGCGTTTAACAAGGTCACGAGCAGTAGCACGACCACCAGAGAATAGGATCAGACCTTCCCTGCTTAACAAAGCTGGAAGCGTCATCCATGTTTCTCTCAAATAAATAGCAGCATAGTATTCCTTATACTGTTCGTGTTCTTTCAACCAGGTCTCACCCAGCAAACCCCCCAGCTTTGTTCCCTTTAATTGCTTATACAAGTGCCAGTGGTTATTCATCAAGAAAAGATATGAAAGGATGGGATCCTCATACATCTTGGACCACGCATCTAAGTTTAGCTCAATGGCTTTTAGTATATCAAGGATGGCATTAATAAGGAGCTTCTCTTGAAATTTTTCATTTTTCCAACTACGCTGGATGACTAAAACCTGCGTTAAAAGTGGTTTATAATCATCCCCAAGCAATCTATTACAGTAGTCAGTAACAAAACTAACCAGCCTTGGAACACTCCCATCAATAGGGGGTGGCGTTTGCCTCTGCAATTCAACTTGAACCAGAAGTTCCCAGAATATCTCGCATGCACCCTCAATGACCCTCCTGATAAGATCCCTAGTCAAATTTTGGATTTCAGCACAAGCTGCTCCACCAAACAGCCGGTTGAAATCCAGCCTTAGTTTATTCAATGATGCAAAAATGTCCAACAGCTTTAGAAGCTTGATGGGGTCCTTCTTGCTCTCAGTCACAGTCTTCCCAAATTGAAGAAACGCCAGGATTCCAGCCTGAGCTGCAATTTTAGCAAAGCAACCCATCCATACATCTAATCCTATCCTCTCAAATACATCAATGCATAGCTTGTACTCCGCTTCAAACAAATGCTTCACAGCAAACTCTAAATGCTTCCCCCACTTAGCTATGTACCCCTCAATGCTCTGTACATCATTGAATTCAGCTATTGAGATCTCAAGATAATCCAAGTTAAGAGCCCGCAAACTCGCCCGTACATTTGCACTTCGGACCTCAACATAGATCGATATGCATTTATCAAGCCTGTTATTAGCAATCAACCTTCCAAGAATAGCTTGGAGCTTCTGAATCACTGCTACAGGAAGAGGTGACGGGGCAATACAAGCTTGATCCTCAACAGAAGACATAGGAAGCGGAACACTATTTTCTGTAATTAGATTTCGAAACTCTTCCTCCAACTTATCCAAGGCTGCCTCAAGTAGTCCACCATCAAGAAATGTCTTCCCCCCATCATTCTGAATTTCTCTAAGACCCTTCAACGATTTCTTCAATTCTGATAGATACCGCTCATCAGCAAGCACATTATCCTCCAAATACTCTACTATATCCTCTAACCATTGAATGGCCAACCCACAATTATCCCCTAAAAACCGCAATGCCTCCTCAAGTCTCTTAAGAACCGCCAGGTACCCCGGAAGATCACTCCTGGGGTTCGACAACAACGACTTCTCAAGTCCATGTACAGCATCAAACACCTTCAAAACCGCGGCAGCAGGGCCGACAGCCCGGTCAATGTGGCCAACAACAGCAACAAGGGCTTCCTCATTTGCCCTAATAGGTCTAACAGCAGCCTCAAGAGAAGGCAACCTGTGATTAATTTCCCCCAATCTAGGCCCAGCTTTCTCTAGAGCTAACCCTAAAGATTTCGACTTTTCTAAGCTTAGGTTTAGTGATTTCCTAGCTGACAACAATCTTTCACTGCTATTACTACCCATAGATTATTCACAATTGACCAACCTACTTGCATCAGAAACTATCAAATTCAAAATGGGATTCTTCTAATTTCTTTACTTTTTTCAAAAATTTCAACCCCAACTCAAAAAAATCAAGAACCAAACTGAAATTTATTGAGATTCAGCTCAAACAATCAACACTCTACATAAAATTAATGGGTTTTACAGTTGCTAAGAATCAGTACAACAAACAACTCGAAAACATCGAAAATAGAAAGAATCTAGAGAGAGAGAAAGTAAACAGAGTACCAAATCAACGGTGGCGGAGACGGCGGAGGCGAACTGAACGGCGGCGATGAGAGAGAAAAACAGCAAAAATGAAAGGTTTTATTAAAGAGAATCTGGGCAAAAGCTGGTGATATCTTTTGGACAAACTCTTTTGAGTTTTGAGAGAGAAAGAGAGTGTGTGAAAATGGGAATTTTAAAGTTTGGATTTTTATTTAATTTTGTTGAATTGTTGTTGAAAATTCTCCGTATTTAGGTATGAGTTAGCTCCAACTTACCGTTGATTTTTCTATTTTGTGTCTTAAATTAAATGCATACGAGCCTTAAAATGTGGGTTGCTGCAACTTTTGGCTGATTATCACTACTTGCATCTTGTAAAGCCATAAAGCTAGTTTCTCATTTGGGAACTTATCGAGGTTAAATTTGTAGATTTTGAAAAATAAGATGGGGTAATTTTGAGAATGCATATCGCTGTTATAAACTTGAAGTTTCTCTTCTATTGCTCAATTATATTGTATTTCCTCTTTTTTTTTTACTTGACCTGTTTCTTTAATCACGCTTGCTAATGTAAAATTTTTAACGATCAATAACTTTAATTCTCTATAAGTTAAAATTATAAAAGTTATATATTATGATATTACTTATTGAGACGAATTCAAAAAGATCTCATATGAATATATTTTTCCTTACCTATTATTCACAAAAGACGGTCAAAGGAGAGATGGTGAATGGTGTAAAAGTCAAAATGAGTCAAGTAAAAAAGGACGGAGGAATATTTTTTACGATATGTTTTTGACTTTTAGGGTAGTGTTTAAAAACTTGAATTTGAATTGCGTTGTCTTAAAGATATTGTTGATTTTTATAAGAAATGAAACAGAGTAACCAAAAATCAACATCACCGTTTTTCTAAAGAAATACTACGTATTTTTTTATGATATGAGATTATTATTCTATGGTCATTTGTGGTTGTCGATCATTTTTTTTTTGTAAAAGTGCGTAGTTATCAATCCTTTCTCATATCTCTTGGTCATTCATTTTAGGGTAAAAAAAAAACAAAAAGAACTTCTACTATTTACTCATTCCATTCTTACAAATTTGTCACATTTAGAATTTTGAGAAATTCTATGGAAAATGGAAGCTAACAAATTCCTGATTTTTTTATACTTATAACATAAGGGTAATGCTATACATAGCCCTTAGGGCTATATATAAGCATTGAATTTACTCTTGGAAAATATATAAAGTTAGAAATTCATGACAAAAACACGCGCAAATCGGTGTAATTAGTGTGTTTTTGTCATGATTTTCTACATTTAAACAATTTTCAAGAGTAAATTAAATGCTTATATATAGCCCTTAGGGCTATGTATAGCATTTTCCATAACATAATCATTACTAAATTAGTCTTGATTTTCAGTTTACAAAAATTTAATTTTTACTTTTTTTTTTTTGTAAAATAGATAAAAATATTTCATTGGAATGTATGCAAAATACAAATTGAACAAAAAAACATGCCATAACATGATACATGACAGATTTGTCCCAATTTTTTTTTTCAACTGATCAAGGTATTCAATGTGCATTTTAAAATGTATGTACTCCATAACACCACTTTTATACGCATAAAACTACATATTACATCTTATAAATTTATAAAAACTTATGGTCATAATTATAAATTTTGATCCAAATATTTATAACGTGGTAAACAAATAGAAATAGAGGAAATACTACATTTATATACTTTGTATGAATTCACTTTTTATACTTCATTTTTATAAGGAGTAGTTTATTTTAATATGCGAAGAACAAGGTATACCTCATTATCAATACTTGTATATTTTAATACGTCGTATTGTAGACTTCATTTTTGTATGCAAAGAACAAGGTGTGGTCGTCATTCTTTCCTCAAAAAGTATAGTCATTTCTAAATTTCTCATACTTTCACAAAAGTTAAAAATATAAAAATATTCCGTCTTTGGGAGTTGCCGGAGCTCAAGTGGCCGGAAATCGCTTCCTATAGGTACCAACTTGCCTCTTTTTCTCTCTCTTCTTTCTGGGGAGTCCCATTACAATTGCAATTGCAATTAGCTTATGCTATATATACTTAAATTTTTTTGCTAATTAATTGATAAATTCGTTCATATTATCATGATTATTATATAGTTTTCTGGTTTTCCATTACTTGTGTAATTGTGTTTAAGCTATTTTTGTGGAGTAATTAGTGTTTTTGCTGCGCTTGAATTTTTGTTGAGAAAAAAAAAATGTCTAATTGCCTAATTAGCCAGTCCAATATCAGTTTAATCAATAATGATGCGCAAAATCAGAAAAATATAATCTTTACTGTAATAAATTAGCCTAATTTAAAAATATTTGTCTTCCATTATCAATAATTCAATATCCCTTGGTCTTTGTTTTGTTGATTTTTAGGTTGACGGAAGGGAACAATCAGTTTTGCAATGTAGAATATATTTCTCTGTTATTCATCATTCATATATTTTTTTTTTATTTTTTTTTTAGAGAGAGAGCCACAAAGGATAACGATTACTTTAGATGCGCGGGATTTAATCCTAGATGTACCGCCCACAAGAATTTAACCAATTAAGATAGACGTCTACATTGTTCTTCACTAATGGAAGTACAAAGACAGTAAACCCAATATCACACTCAAAGAAAGAAGACAGCTTAACATAATCTACCATTCCATACATGAAAGGCTTACAATTACATAGGTCCATCATCACAAAGAACAAACCACATCCTCAACTATCAAGATCTCACTAATTCGAGTTGTCGTGCTTGATCATCATTTTCTTGAGCTTGGACACCTTGAGAGCAATGGCCACGTATAGCCAGTCCGAGGCATCCTCAACCCGCCTAAAAAGAGCATATCTCCACCTTTTATTCAGCAACAAAGTTCCAACGACACCCCAAAACTCGGTTGTAAAGCCTAACATCACAAACAAGTAGAACCACATCATCTCTAGCTTGTTTTTCTTCTCCTTATAATCCTGATTGTCAGAATGATTAGGCTGCTCGTCATGGGCCAAGCACTTGGGTAAGGGATCTCCACAAAGATATGGGTTTCCCGCGTAAATTGATGGGTCATTAAAGGTTTGAAAGTGCCCTGTGGTTGGGATTGGCCCCGACAGGTTATTGAAAGAAAAGTTGGGGTAGGATAAGGAGTCTATCTTACCCAAGCTTGCCGGGATCCTCCACATAGTTTATTCCCTGACAAATCAAGTGTCTCCAATGCTTTCATGTCACCAATATTCCCTGGGATTGTGCCTGTGAAACTATTGTTAGCCAAGTTTAATGTTACTACACAAATAGCTTCGTAAGCTCCTTAGGTACGACTCCAACAAGATTATTGTTGGAAAGGTCAATATTTACCAAGTAGTTGAGGACGCTGCTATATTCTCGTGCAATTCCTGCCACGGTCTCTCTAATATTGTTATCGGGAATCATATCTGAAGAAACAAGAAGGTCATCATCTGAAGTGTTAACTGGTAAATTCATACCTACAAGGTTGCCAAAACAGGGAGGAATTTTTCCAGTCAATTGATTGTTAGAAAGGTCCATGACACGAAGATGAGAAAAGTTGCAAAATTTCTTAGGAATGAGGCCATTGAACTTGTTTTGTGGCAGCCTGAGTACTTCCAAGCTTGGAAAACTTGTGTCAAACCATTTCGGTATAGCCCCTGATAAGTCATTTCCACCGAGATTGAGAATTTTCAATTGTGTGAGGTTGCTCAAGCATGAAGGAATGTGACCATACAGTTTGTTATCACTCAAATGCAAATATTTCAAGCTGAAAAGATTTCCAAGAGAGCAAGGGATGACACTGGAAAGATTGTTGGATGAAAGATTTATAACCTGCAGCGACTCAGAATATTCCCAACAATTTGGAATTGTGCCGGATAACTTATTCTTCTGAAGATCTAATATTTGCAATGAGAGCTTACACAGAGACTTTAAGATGGTGGTACTATTGCCACTATCATCTCTAGGATTGACTTCACCAAGTTGATTATTTTGAAGCCTAAGGATACGCAAACCCAATAATTGATAACTCGTCCAAGGTGGTATTTCTCCGGAGAGTCTATTACTACTAAGATCAAGAATTTCCAGTGGGCAATTCATGAGAGATGAAGGAATATGTCCCGTAAGACTATTGTTGTTCAATTGTAAACTATAAATTGCACAATCTCGCTCGAAGGTAAGTGGGATGGAACCTGAGAATTGGTTTGAGGACAAATCTATAAACGACGCATGTTCATCATACTCCAGCCGACCTAGAGAAAGTTGTTTTGGGAGAGGTCCAGTGAGAAAGTTGTTGGCAAGATTCAATCTTAGGAAGCTACTTGTGTTGATAAACCATTCATGTGGCTCGCCCGAGATGCCAGTATTAGAGAGGTCCAAATCTTGAATCCTAGTTTGTGTTTGAAGCCAATGTGGAGAGTGGTTGATATTACAAGAAGCCATCCTAAATTTATTCAATTGGGAGGGAGGTAGCCAATTAGAATTAACGTCAAGAGACACATTGTTGTAGCTCATGTCCAAGTAGGACAACTTAGAGAGGCTTCCTAAGTGTGACAGTGATACTTGGCCTTGAATAAAATTGGATGAAATATCTAGATACTCAATTTCAGTCAATTGTCCTAGGCAATCTGGGATCTCTCCACTTAATTTATTATATGAAAAATCTAATTGTTTCAGGTTAGTTAATTGTCCTAAAATAGACGGCAAATTGCCCATAATATTGTTGCCACTAAGATCAAGGGACTCTAAACTGTAACTAATGCACCTGGAAATATTTACAGGAAGCTCTAAAATCTCTCGGATTTGATTGTAAGATAAATCCAAATGTATGAAGTTGCATAGATTCCCCAGAATTTCCCAAATTCCATTTTCTACATGGCTAAATCCATTGCCGCCTAGATTAAGGACTTGAAGACTCTTCATGTTCTTAAGCCAATAAGGGATTGAACCTTTTAAATGATTATAAGAGAGATTAAGAGAGATCAAGGACTTGAAGGTTGGTAAGATTACCAATTTGAGGAGGAACATTCCCTTGTAAATAATTATTAAGGAGATCAAGGACTTGAAGGTTGGTAAGATTACCAATTTGAGGAGGAATATTCCCTTGTAATTTATTAGAAGAGAGATCAAGGACTTGAAGGTTGGTAAGGTTACCAATTTGAGGAGGAACATTCCCTTCTAAATTATCATAAGAGAGATCAAGGACTTGAAGGTTGGTAAGATTACCAATTTGAGGAGGAACATTCCGTTCTAAACTATTATAAGAGAGATTAAGGACTTGAAGGTTGATAAGATTACCAATTTGAGGAGGAATATTCCCTTGTAATTTATTAAAAGAGAGATCAAGGACTTGAAGGTTGGTAAGGTTACCAATTTGAGGAGGAACATTCCCTTCTAAATTATCATAAGAGAGATCAAGGACTTGAAGGTTGGTAAGATTACCAATTTGAGGAGGAACATTCCGTTCTAAACTATTATAAGAGAGATTAAGGACTTGAAGGTTGATAAGATTACCAATTTGAGGAGGAATATTCCCTTGTAATTTATTAAAAGAGAGATCAAGGACTTGAAGGTTGGTAAGATTACCAATTTGAGGAGTAATTTCCCCATCAAACCCAGAATAAGAGAGATTGAGATATCTCAGTTGAGTCATGGTTCCAATGACTTGGAAAGGAGATGCTCCTTGCTTCTCCGCCGAAAATGAGGCCGTACAATTTCAGGTGAGTTAAGTGTTTCAGTCCTAGCAAAACTGTGATTATCGAATTGTGTACACAAACACGCTTGGCTGGCATCTGAAAATATTATAGCAAGAATGAGCACAAAATTGAAGGCTTAGCTGGTGTTAATGATTATATTTTCCATCTTATGATATTATATATTGTTGGAAAATAAATTCTATTTTTTTATAATGTAAAATTTAAAGAAAAATGTTTACAAACTTTGGATGCTTCTTTGGCTTAGCTGTTAGTTATTGTGTTTGGTTTTGCTTAAGCTGCTTGTTAACCACATACAATCAAGGAGCAACATTAACGTTGCATGGCATATGAGATGGGGTAGGAATATTTATAGAAGTAAAATCTCCATGTTCTTTGCAACAACCTCAACATATTTAACGGTTATCTTTTTCTTTCCCACATATGATGTTTTTGTCAAAGCAAAAATACGGAAGAAACAAGCAAAATATTTTTACAAAAAATGGTGATTACAAAATTCCCTAAGTACACTACGGAAGAAACAAGCAAAATATTTTTACAAAAAATGGTGATTACAAAATTCCCAAAGTACACTACAAGAAATAGGCTAATTTCCGATGGACAAGAAAATTCGTCGGAAATTTCCAACGGATATTTTTTCCATAGAAAATTTCCGACATCATAATTTCATTAGGAAATTATTTTCAATCCGTCGGAAATTTCTAACGGTTTTTTTATTCCGTATGAAATTTTCGACGGATTTCAAACAATTCCGACGTAATTTCTGTAGGAAATTATTTTCCGATGGAAAAATCCATCAAAAATTTCCTACAGATAAAATCCGTTGGAATTTATTTAATTTTTGACGGAAAAATCCATTATAAAGTAGATAATTTGCAACAAAATTTAAATCCATCGGATATTTCTGATGGATTTTTCGTTGGAAAAACACATAAAATAACCTAACTGTAAAATACGAAGTACCACCTTAGTTAAAAAAAAAAAACAAAAAAAAAACGAAGCTCTCTAAAACACTAACCCTAACTCAACTAGCAGCGTGCCAGCCTCTTTTCTCTTGTTTTCTCTTCTTTCGGTCTTATCTCTCTCCTCTCACTTCCCCTCTTCTTCTCTATTCTTCATTTCCCTTTTCTTATCTTCTCTTTCTCTTCTCTCGGTTCCCTCTCTCTTCCGCTCTCTTTCTTCGCCACTCTTTTTATTCATCTCGCAGCTCTCTCTTCTCTCACTTCCCCTCTTCTTCTCTCTTCTTCCCACGGAGCAATCCCGGGCATCCCTTCCGGTCACTATTTTGCCGCCTCGCTCAATGCTATCGACGTTTTTTTTGTGTATTTAATTAATGGTTTGAAGGTCAAGTTCGACCATAAAAAACTCTAGATCTAGAGTTTTCATAATGGTCGAATTTGACCTTATATAACCAAATTCCAGGCTGAATTCGATGGATTATGGTGGAATTTAAGGTATATTGTTTTCAAATCTTCTTTCTTATAATTTTGTTTTTGAATTTGTTGTTTTTTTTAAGCAAATTGTTGTGGTTAGTGTATTAGATATAGGGTTTCGATGATTGTGGTGAATTCAGGTAAGGATTGTGGTGGTGGGCTGGGTTAGGGTTAGTTAGTGGCGGGCAGATCTAGATTTTAGGTGGGGGTGGAGTAGTGGGTGGGGGTGGAGTAGTGGGTGGTGGTGGACAGGGAGTGGAGGTGGGAGGTGGCGTAGTGGAGGGTGATGACGGTGGTGTCGTTTTAATTTTAGGTTATTATTTATTTTTTTTGTTAGTGGCGGTGGAGGCTGGTAGTGGTGGTGGTGTCTAGTGGGGCTTTTTTTTTAATTTTTTTTAATGGGATTTTTCGACAGAATTTCCGTCAGAAATCTCCGGCGGAAACAGTCTGTCGGAAATTTTCGACGGACTTTCCCGGTGGGGAGAATTCTTCTCCGATGCCTGAAATTCTGTCGGAAAACCCGTTTTTCGACGGAATTTCTAACGGAAAATGTCGTTTTTCCTACAAACAATTTTCCGACAACCATCTTTGACGAACTTCCGTCGAAAACGGGCTTTCCGACGAAATTCGGGGTATTTCCGTGGGAAAATGATTGTTTTCTTGTAGTGGTAGAAACAATATTAAGCAATACTATAATTTTACGATGAATTAGTGTTATTTGGTTCGGGGTCTTTTTCTACACACAATTGTATTTTGGGGAGAGGAGCGTATAAATACGTTTTACCAATGCGTGGGGTGTTTTCTCTTTAAGGGATAGCGCATTGCGTGCTACAGCCCATGCTACTGTTGTAACATTTGATTGTTTGTTATTTTATGATGGATATTGATTGTAACATTTGATTGATAGTAGAAATACTATTGCCTCAGTTGATTTTCGTATTTAATATTTATATTTTTAATTTGATATTTTTGATAGAGTATAAAACATATTTATGGGTCTCAACCATCAACTTAAGCTTTTGATTAAATTGGTTGCTAACATGATACACCAAGTAGTACTTGGTCTAGTGGTAAAGGATTATATTTCATAACCATGAGGTTGTGGAATCGATTTCCATTATGGGAAACCATCCTGAGTTAGAGGGGAGGGTAGGAGATCTCCCAAAGTACTTAGGATGTTGTTACGGTCACATAACCCAAAGTACCTCTATGTTTTTCCAAGTTGGAGCAATGGTGGAAAATGATGGAATGTAGAGGGTTTAAGCTAAGTCGGAGTGAGACTGAATATTTGATATGTCGCTTTGGTATTCAGAGGGGGACAAGCAATGAAGTGGTGAGTTTGGATGGAAAGGATTTGACCATGAGTGAATGTTTTAAGTATCTTGGGTCGATCATCTAGAAGAATGGTGACATTGATCAAGACGTGGTCCACAGGATTTAGGCGGGGTAGCTTAAATGGAGAGCTATCACGGGAGTGTTATGTGACCAAAGCATTCCCTTACAATTAGGGGGAAATTGTATAGGACTGCCATAAGACCAGTGTTACTCTATGGTACCGAATGTTGGGCTTCTAAGAAGGAGCACATTAAAAAGATGGAGGTTACGGAATGTTAAGGTGGATGTGTGGGAACACTCTAAGAGATAGAATTAGAGATGAGGTTATTCGCAAGACAGTAGGTGTGACAGGCATTGTAGATAAACTAAGGAGAAACCGCCTGCATTGGTTTGGGCATGTAAGACGGAGACCCGAGGGTACACCGGTTCGAAGAGTGAAAGAGTGGGACCATGGAGGGGTTAAACAACGGAGAGGGAGACCGAAAATGACTTGGTTGGAAGGAATTAGGAAGGATATGAAGTATATAGATTTGCATGAGCATGAAGCATTGGATCGTAAGGGATGGAGGAGGAAGATTTATGTCGATGAATACACGGAATAATCAAATTTGGTTCATGTTAGCCGACCCCACTTATTGGATTGAGGCTTTGATTGATTGATTGATTGGTTGGTTGCTAACATGATACGAGCCAACATGACAAAAAAAAAAAAAAAAAAAAAACAAAAGTCACGGGTTCAAATCTCATTCGTTAGAAATAGGTGTACCACGTCTATAATATTAACATTCAGTAAAAAAAATATGAATATTTAGTAAAAAAAAAATATGAACACGTCACAAAAAATGAACATAAACATCCAATTTTATATATTCACATTATATAATGAAATGTTCATTTATATGCACTAAATGTTCAGTTTATATTGAATTATCCCGTGTAAGACAAACTTCTTTCAAAAAATTTGATGTTCATTATAAAGATGTATTGTGTTCATATTTAAAATTTCAATGTTCATTTTCAAATAATAAATGTTCAAATTCGAGTAGTGTCATGTTCATATTTATTGATGCTCATTATAAAATAATGTAATGATTATATTTAAAAATTTCAATGTTTATTTTTAAAAATTATATGTTCGAATTCTAATAGTGTCATGTTCATATTTTATATGTTCATTTTCAAAAACTATAGTTTAAAACTTTATTTATATAATAGTAATTGTTAACGATAAGTAGATCATATTAATTCATTATAAATTCTTTTATGTTCATTATAATAAACTAATGTTCATTTGAAATAGGAAAAATTGTCAAGAATAATCCGAACTTTGCCCCATTCTCCCAAAATAGTCCAACTTTCGATTATTTTTTAATAATCCCAACTTTATACTTATTGATTTTAAACAGTCCCAAGTGACTTGAAACCGGCTAAACAAATCAAATTTTATTTTTATATTTATTTTATTTAAAAAGAAAATTAATCAAAAATTAAACAAAAAAAAAGTAAAATCAATGAAAAAAAAACACACCACCACCTTAGCCACACTACCTCAGCCACCAACATCTCCACCCCACCCAAACCCAGACCCCGGAACCACCACTCCTACCGCCACCTAGACCCAAAACCAGCACTCTCACCCTCACCTAGACTCGAAACCACCACCCCTTCCCAACCAGTCCCACATCCTATCCTAAAAAACCCCCTCTTCGAAAATCAAACAATCCCCAACTACCTGTTCTTCATCTTCATCTTCAAAATTTGAGGTTGCAAATTGGAATTTTGGAAATTCTGGGAATGGGAAGTAGGAAAGGCATGGCATCCAGCAGAAGACATTGGAGGATAAAGAATTGAGTGGTGAGGGTAGTTGCGGTTCTGATGGGGGTTAGAGTTTCGGGTTTGGGTGGATAAGGGTGGTTTCAGGAGAGGGAGAGAAAGAGGTGTCGGAAACCAGGCGAGGAAACGGGAGGGGGGCCGGAAATGGGACAGGGAAGATGATGGGATGCCGGCGGCAACAGCCTCCTGACGGTGGCAACGGCTGGGTTTGGGTTTTTAATTTTTGTAAAAGGTTTTTTTACTTTTTTTTATTTTTTTAACCTATCATATGCCAACACGTGTCAGATAACTTGCTATAACAAGTTAGATGACCGGTTAGAACCATTTAAAGCGAATGCATATTAAAGTTCGGATTATTAAAAAATAATCGAAACTTGGGATTATTTTGAGCGAATGAGGCAAAGTTTGGATTATTTAAGCAATTTTTCCTTTAAAATATATTAAATGTTCATTTTATATATATCAAACTAGTAAATACTCGAGTCATGCTCGGCTTTGAAATGAACATAGTATATGTTAAATATATTGATATTAATTATATCAGTCTTCCATTTCTATTTTCTAATGTAATTCAATGTTTAGTCTTCAAAACTTGTTAAAAAAAATTATTTAATTGTAAAAAGAAAAAAAAAAGTATAATAAAGTCATATGAGTATAACGAATATAGATGTAGTATATAATATAACGTATTCGATAATTAATAATTGAGAAGTAGTAGACGAATAATATAATGTTTCTATACATGCTTTTTAGAAAATATAAATAAATTTATTATTTTTAAAATCAACTAAAAATTAATTAACCACAAAAAAAAATTAAAAAATAAAAACAAGAGATTTGGAGGAAAAAAATCCCTCCAAAAAAAGATATCACTTTAGTATAGTATAGATTCCAATTGAAATTCATAATTCCTAAACCCAAATTAACTTATGTTCATATAGATTTCCAATCGCAATTTCCGTACATACTACCGTTACAATTGCAGGAGGGTATTAAGAATGTAGGAAAGTATATTATTGTGATATATTTATCATAATACATCTTATGATAAGATAGATTTATGTTAATTTGATATTATGTAGGAATAAGATATTTTACATATTGGATTTTTTTTGTGTGGCTGGTCATACCGTGTGGCCGGGGTTACTCGAGTTACTCGGTCAGGGGTTACTCGAGTTATCAGGGTTACTCAAGTTACTCGGTCAGGGGTTACTTGAGTTACTCCTGACCAAGTGACCTCTGATCGAGTAACCCTTCAAGTAACTCTTGACCGAACCCTCAAGTAACCCCTGATCGAACCCCTGAAGTAACCCCTGATCGAATCCCTTAAGTAACCCTGAGCGAGTAACTCGAGTAACTCCTAACCGAGTAACCCCTAATCGAATTCCTTAAGTAACCCTGACCGAGTAACTCTACTAACCCCTGACTAAGTAACTCAAGTAGTCCTGTGGCCAGCCACATATAAAAATTTGTGATTTTACAAAATTTGTGATTTTACATATAATGGAATTTTATATTGTTTAGCCTATCTTTTTAGGCTATATATACTTGCCAAAAATATCAATACAACTTAAGCATTTACCTATACAAATATGATGTACAAACGCCAGGTTTAGGACCAATAACGATGTTGAGAAGAATAATGTTGCCAGTGACATTATCACAGCCCACTCCTTGCCATTGACAACAGTCTTCACCAACCCATAAACCAACTTGTACAGATTGATTATGGCCTTTATGGGTTGTGAGGATTTGCTTCATCTTAAGCTAAGCTTCTCGCTCGTGCTGTTTGCACCAGATACTGCTCGAGTTTCCTGCAGCAGCTGCAAACTGCCCGCATTGGCACACCAAGTGGATTACTAACCATACCACAACACATAAGTAGTGTAACCAAGAATATGATTTTCCCATCGATCCTGATGGTAAGAAAAATGGATTGTTTTTTATTTATTTATTTATTTTATTTTATTTTGAGATTATTTTATCGTGGAGAAAAACAAGAAAAGAAATCAATGTTTTGATTTAATTTGTGTTTGTAGAATTAAAGTTCATTATAATTCCCATTTATTATAAGCAAAGAGTAGTTGGACGTATGTACTTAAAGTCTTAAACACTAGCATAGTTGATTTTGAAATTTTCATCTCAATTCATATTGCCATATATACTTTTCAAGTCTTCAACGTCAACGCTAGAATGGAATGATGTCTGCTTGTAATTGATAGCATGATCATGTGGCATTGAATTTGTTTATTTTGCATCGCAAACTCGTTGAAGTTTCCTACAATTATAAAGTATACGGACCATATATATGCTGGCCATGCACTTGCTCACTAGTTGCTAAAATCACATCGTTGTTCAAGGACTTCACCCCGTGGCATACGTTAGGGTCTTTCTCGACTAGACGATTATTCTTTTAGCGTGATTGAGGGCTAGCATAGACTAGTACCTTAATATCAATTGATTGGAAAGGTAGATCAAAATAGCACTTCTTGCACGTCCTGTAAGGATAAAAATCAATAAAGAACAGTACAAGAAAGATTTTTTTTTAGAATAATGGGACTTACAAACAAGGTATATCCTATATTTTACTTGTAATAATCTTTTCATAATGATTAATGAATAATATCCATGTTACAAATTACTATGGCTTAGTTCAAGTCCCAAAAGGTGAAAGATAAAAAAATTTAGTCCCTATTTGTCACCCTTAACTCTGAATAAAATCCACATTTATCTTCTATTACACTACTAGGTTATCACAATATATAATGATGTATATATTATCTTTAGCATATATTGAAAACCAATGCAAACAACTTTGTACTCATTTTTTAAAAATAATCATAAATCATTAAGAGAAAATTCGTCTAAAAACATTGCTGATGTTAAGCACCACTTTGATTTGATGACCATGTGTGTTTAATTAACTTTGAGTCATTTGACCAAAATCATGAGTAGTTAAGCATATCAACCCATGACATGAACACCATACACGTTATTTCCACTATCATCATGAAAGAGAAGAAAGATCAGTAGAAAAATATCAACATGTAGCACATAATATTAACAAATACTCCGTAACATGTACCTGAAGCAGAGTTGAAAAACAGAATAATTTGTAGAATGGAAAGAGATGAGAGAATGGAAAATGCTTTTTGCGTAACATAAAAATGAAATAATGAAAGGAGAAACTCATTAATTAATAAGACAAGCAATTAAATTTTTTTTCAGTTTCTTATATATGATTAGCAAATTTTTACAATTGTATGATAGTCTGTAGAAACATCCACTCCGTATTTGTAATTTTTTTTGTAAACAGTTGTAGTCATTATTTATAATCCAATTTTCAAAGGAATTTAAATGAAGTAGCTTACTTTAATTTAAATTTTTTTTTTTAAAAAAAATAATAAAATAAATGCGTTTAGGCGGGAAAAAATTTCATAAAAAAGTAACACGTATACATGTTTGGAGAAGGATGATGTCAGCGGTTTTTATTTTAGTTATTATTATAAATACTAAACAAAGTCTTTTTTAGAGGGAATTTTCCCTCCTAACTTTACCTTCTTTTTTTTTCAAATCATTAAATTATCTACAAACTTTATTATTTATTTATGAGTATATTAAACCAAGCATTATGGCACGGGCTTTATCTAGCTCTACTATCAAAATGATGGTCCTATCTTTGACACAAATAAAAGCTTTACACCCAAATTTGGAACAATACTTTTAAATTTTAAATTAAAATATTGCGTAGTTACATGTGACTGCAGCTATCTTTTTCTTTAGTCATTTTTTTAAAAATATTTTTTATTTATTTTTGATTTGATTCTTTAGTCATATAATTGTATGTTTATTTGTATTACCCTATATATATATAAGTTATCCTGATATAAATAAAAGTTATTTAAACTTATGAATAAAAGTTAACCTAAATTCAACAAAAGTTATCCTAAATTTAACAAAAGTTAGCTCGATATATTATACATCAAATGTATACAAAAGTTTTGAGGTATCTTAATACCCCTTTACTTCACAATGATAGATGTATGGTTGCTTGATCGACACCCACAAGAAGGGTTATAGCTTGGTAGTTGGCTAGACCGACATCATTAACAAATGAGATATTCCGACGGCTTCTTCGTCATCCTTTCGCCTGTAAACCACCACCATCATCGTCGTCCCCTATCTTCTTCACCCCCTTTCACCTTTCCGGCGGCTTCGCCGCCTAATCAAACGAAAAACCCTAACAAAAATGGAGAAATTTGGGCATGGGTAACCCTTAAGAACAAAGTTTATCTTCCTCGAAGGTTTCTGATTGCCATTGATGGAGGTGAGAGGATGGAGGAAGAAGAAGAACGGGATGGAGGAGGAGAAGCCCAGATTTAGTTCAATTACAATATTAACCCCACTTACAAACTGAAAATGACACAAATACCCCTGTGGGATACTTGTTATGTTTCTCACTATGAGAAACATGGATTTACCAATATATAATGGAGGTAGTACTCATAATAATGATAATGATCATGATCGAATAAGGGCTCACGACCCAGTATTATAATTGCACACAGAACAACCAAATTATTATTAAAACTCATAATGAAATTTGCAAGACATACATAATGTCAAATAAAAGGGCAAACGACAATAAAATTAAATTCTCAAAGTGTAAAAACATTCAAATGATAAAAGATCGACTAACATCCTCTGGCTACACAATAGCTAGATTATTAGAAACGAAATTTCTTCAAGTAGATTCATCATATCAATAATTTAACTCGATTAATTTGCACTCTTCTTTTGATATTCCATGACCCAAGTATCACAAGCGAAACAAACCAAACGAAAAGCTTCAAATCCAGCCTCTTTGCCTAAGGCCTCGTACTCTTGTTTGGTTCTTGCTTTACCATCTGGAAATGTTAACATGATTGCGTCCCAAATGAAGGCTGTATGAGCTTGGTAGCTAGTTTTCGGTGTTTCGGGCACAACGTACTCGCAAATTATTACTTTGCCTTCTTCTGGTAAAGCCTCATGGCAATTTTTCAATAGTTTCATACATTGTTCATCGGTTCCTGATTGAAAAGTCCACTGAAAATATATAGGAAATTCATTACGATTCCATCAAATTAAATATATGGTTAAAGTATGTGCAAATAAGTCAAATTAAATAAAATCTCACATGATCGAATATATATTTTCTCAAGTACAAATAATCAAATATAGTCAAAGTAGATTATGAATGTTACAAGTTACAACTGAAATAACAAAAAAGAAGCATAGATAACGGGCAACTTTGTTTTTTTCCTTCTTTTGGCAAGTTAAAAATGTATCAAAGACGATTAACCCAACTAATAGTTTACGCTGATAGTTAAAAACTAGATATGATTTTTACACTCTATTAAAATGAGCAAAGCTCAATAAATAAAATGTACCTTCATAAATATAGCATCAGCCTTAGGAACACTGTCATACATGTTCCCTCCAACATGTTCAACACCTGCAAGTACATACATATATCAATAATCAAGATTATTACAGTGAGTACATAGTACATTAAATTAAATGTAACTAATACGGAATAAAAAATAAAAGATACTCCGTAATAATTTAATTAAGAAGATTCGTACCAGGAACTGATGGTGCATCTCTTATAATATGAGGTAGGTCAAAATTAATAGCCTTAATTGAAGGGTATTTAGAAAGGATAATTTTAAGAGTAAGACCGGTAGCACCACCAACATCAACAATTGATGATATACCCTCAAATCCTTTGTAAATATCTAGAAATTTCTTCATAACAATGGTAGAATGATGGTCCATTCCATCGTAAAAAACCTTGTAAAATCGCGAATCTGTTCCTAGATAGTCGAATATGCCCATACCATAATTCTTCTCGAAAGGATTTCCACCTATTAATACCGAGTCTTTTAAATGTTTCCTGCGATATTTTGAGGTAAGTTAGAAGATATTGTTGCAAAATATGATTATCAACACCACGAAAATAATATGAGTACTACGAAAATAAACTAGGCTATGAATATATATGGCTTCTGATGTGAAGTCCCTCTTGTATCGAGTAGTATAAGCCCTTATGAGCATGCTACAAGATTAAGCCATTAAGGCACGTACGTCTAACTTTTGGCTATGTTGCTAGGATCATGGTATTCGTGTTCAAGTTATGGGAGAATTATTATTATGTATTTGTGAAATTCATAATTCTATTATAGATATTAATGATTATTTATTAATGAATTGATTTTTCATCTTACAAAAAAAAAGTAATAGATTATGAGAAATTTATCAATAGTAAACATATCGAGTTTTGATCTCTTTTAAATATGGTCAAGATTAAACTATTTGTTACGGTTAAAATTCATACCCGGCCGGATCATACCAAATAATTAGGATCGAGTCAAGATAGACATTAAGTAATCGAGTTCTTTTTGTCATATCTCCTAAAGTATAGAAGCTATAAACTTTTCAAAATGGTTAGAAAGGAAAGGAAAAGAAATAGAAGGAAAGGCGAGTCAAACTCACCAAGTGTCCATGATAATCTTATCATGCATAAGATTAGCAAAAGCAGCATAAGAAACCTCATCATCATTCTTAGCCAAGAACTGGCAAACTGGGCCAAGCCCATACAGCCTCTTAGGCTGTCCATCAGGACCAACCTTTTGAGTACAAGTGAGTATAAAGCTAGCCAAAAGGCGTAGCATACGGTCTAGGGCTACCGCGGCATTAGGGTTAGTGGTGGGTAATTGAGCCACAATCTCTTCCGCGGAGAGCTGGGCCTTAGGGCCGGTGTTATAGATGATGTCGAGGACATGCATCTCTAGCACAGTTTTGAACACCATGGACGGTACGGACCACGTAGCCAAGCACATAGCCATACAAGAGGCCTCCTCCTCGGTAGTTGGATGAATTTGTGCTTCATTGCTACCAATAATTGAGCTCATTTTGCACAAATAGAAATATGTTTAAAGAAGCTAATGATTTGTATACTTTAGTATAAAAAAAAATACTTTGTAGTATATTGTATGGCTTCAAATACCTAGGATGAGAACTGAAGCAATGTTACAAGGTAACGAGATTATTTATAGTAGCTACAGTGTATTATACATTTATACATATGCACAGGTAATCTTGTTAATTATGACGCCATAAATGCCAGCTAATACCAATCTTTAGTAAGAATGGTAGTCCAAAAACTCGTGACTCACGTCATTAGTAGAGTTTTTTTTTTTTTTTTTGGTTAAACGATACATATCAAGGTACTTAATTACTACGGAGTACTATATAATTTAACATATACGAAGTACATGATACATGGTGGCCGTGGGGGGTAGTTTCTTAATGGATGTATAATATGTCAATTTTTATTTCATCACATCTAATAAAATAGGATTCTAAATCATCCTTTAAGATAATAGATTTGAGATTGCATCATAAGTTCATATTAAGGTAATAAAGTAATGAAGTTTTTGACAAACTAGCATCTATCAACGCCCTTTGAACTTACCTTATCTAAATGTAATATTTACCGATGTTTTTAGAATTTAACATCTCTTTGAACTTATCTTAAATTTTGTTTTCTAGTAAACTTAACTTATTACTCCGTAGTATTTTTTTTTTATTCAATTAGGTCAAAAAATGTTGAACAAAATTATGTCTAATTACCCTTCTATTAAAATTTTAAATAATGACATTATCCGCTTTCTTACAAAAAAACATAAATGGACAAAATGGTACACTTAATTAACCTACTGGTTGGTGATAGAGTATAAAACATATTCTTGGGCCTCAACCATCAGCTTAAGCTTTTGGTTGAGATGGTCTTTTAACATGGTATCAGATTGGAGTCAACATGACACAAAGGTCACGAATTCTTTGGTTGAGATGGTCTTTTAACATGGTATCGAATTGGAGCCAGCATGACACAAAAGTCACAAGTTCGAATCTTATCCACCCCTCCTTTCAAAGGGGAATATTTCGCGCAGGGTATGCGGGAGGCTCATGCTGCATCCACATTTCAAGCCCAAAGGGCTCTTATATGATGGGGCGTGATAGAGTATAAAACATATTCCTGAACCTTAAGATGATCCTTTAACAGTTGGTGGTTAGTTTAATTGAACAAAGTAATCAATTGTTAATAATAATAAGGTTCAGCACCTGAGTGCATATAATTTTTTTTTAGTAAAGAGACGATGCCCTGGCACCGAAAAATTAATAAAAGAATGACGCCTTGCATAAAAATCAAACAATATTTGAGAATAAAGTGTTCCTAAAAAGATTGTGTATCTTTAACTCTATAACTTTATAGGAATATTGTCTTTGATTATCTTGGATACTACGTGCTAGTATTATCTTGGATGTTGTCGTAGTGATCAGTATATCATTGTGATTTTATGTATATATTTTGTTAATCATTTGCTACAAAATAACTCTCATTTCATTGTAAACTCTATAAACATTCGTACTATCTTACAGTACAATTAACCATCATTTTTTCCGTGTCCTATCCCATCCTACAATTAATTGTCTTTTTAGTGTCCTCAAATACTCAATTAACTCAAATATTTAATAAATCAAACTATTTGTTAAAGGACCAACTCAACCAAAAGCTTGACACAAAATATTTCACTTGAAAGTGGAGGGGTGGATGAGATTTGAATCTGTGACCTGATATCATGTTAAATGACCAACTCAATCATAAAGTTAAATTGATGGTTGAGGCCCAAAAATATGTTTTATTTATCACTATCAACAAAAAAAAGACAAACCTTCCTCCACAATGACATTATTAGCAATAATATGTCTTACCTCGTAGTAATTACATTATTAACACATAAACTGCACCATCAACCATATAATAAGATAACTTTATGATTGAGATAACTTTATGGTAGTAATTACATTATTTTGCAGCCAAAAGTCCTAAACTAATCAACCATATAATAAGATAACTGATTATAAACAGCAAAGTACAACCAGTTGTATAATAAAAAAAAGTTTGAAGTTGTCACTCAAAACTCCTGCACAATCATCTTGAATTAATTTTTTATTTTTATTTTTTTAATATTTAGAAAAGTCAATTAATATGGTGGAACTTAATGTCATCTTAAAAAGGTGGCGAGGCTGGCGAGCTGATGATGATACACATTTACAATGCTTCAAATCTTGTGTTTGGGATTCCCAGATAACTGTTGCAGGATTACAAATTTACTATTTGCAAGTTGTGCGCAAATATCTATGACTCGTCCTCGAGTACCACGCACGGCTACCACCTTCAAGTCCAGCGAAAGAAATTTCAATTACTCGTAGTGATTAAGTTAAAATAATATTAAGTAAAACTAATTTTAATATAGTAAAATAATTTCAGTTCATTAAAAATAAGTTTAGTTCAGTAAAAATAATTTCAATTCAGTAAAAATAAGTTCAGTTCAGTAAAATTCAATAACTTTAAAAAAAATATATAATAAAAAATCAGTAAAAATAATTTTAGGTTCAACAAAAATAATTTATGTACAGTAAAATTAATTCAATTTAGTAAAAATAATTTATGTTCAACAAAAATAATTTCATTTTAGTAAAAATAATTTCAGTTCAGCAAAAATAAGGTAAAGTGAACAGGACCTAATTGAATTTTTGGATACCGATTTTTTTTTTTTTTTTCAATAAGTAAATGATCATTAAGAAATCTCACTCACGACTCACGAGAATATATATATATATATATATATATATATATATATATATATATATATATATATATATATATATATATATATATATATATCAATTTTATGAAATGATGAAGCCCTTACTTCTTATTCCATCTCCCCAAAAAGCCAAGTTGATTTATTACCTTAACGATTGGCATTCAAGAAGACCGGCAACGTTAGGTGGAGAAAAATCCTTGAAATAATCATGAAGCACTTGCTAAGCTGTACCTTCCTATTATACAATCGGTTGTACTTGTATATACATCAATTTTATGGAAATAAGCCCTCGCTTCTATCTTATACCATCTTCAAGTCCCAACATAACCTTTATTGAAATAAAACTTTATCGATTGGCATTCAAGAAGCTAAGATCGGCAACATTTTAGGAGAAAAACCCTTTTAGGCAGCCATATATCGTAGGGCACTTGCTAATAAATTATACTCTTTATCTTTTTACTACTGTATATAACAGGTTGTACCTTGTGCATAATAATGAAAATCTTATTTCTCTAGTTTTTTTTTAGTTGCATCACTTTTCTAAAAAGAAAGTTTTTAAATTAGTTGCATCACTTTCCTTTTTAACTAATAAATTTTCAGCAATTCCGAGAGATTTTCAGGTCATTTTATTGGAGTACTTGTGTGGAGTTGCCAGACCAAGACTTGTGCCGAGCTTAGCAGGAGTCTAGTCTATTATGCCCTCTATGGCTTTGCTTAGTAGTTTAGTTTTTACTGTTTATTTTTGTGTGTTTGTCTTTAGGTTGTTCATTTTGTCTTTGTTGCCCTACTAGTTCAAAAAAAAAAAAAAAAAAATTCTCTTTCTCTCTCCTATCACATACGGCTCATTTATTTTTTTTTCTCTCTACCTCTCTATATTCAAAAAATTGTCTAGAAATCTTCAAAAATAAAAGTGATGCAACTACAAAAAACGGAAGAATTATATAAAAATATTCTATCTCCAAATTCTTCTCACAACATAGTTACTGTACTTTAACATCGAAGGGTTTTCCACTTTTCCTTCTTAAACCTAGCATGGATTTCTAATGTGATCTTAGACCTCAGTGAACCTAATTGAAAAAAAAAATGTGCAGCCCAATACAGTGCCGGCCCACTTCTTAAAACATGGTCCAGTTGCCAACTCATTAACCTTGCTAAGTTGTCCAATTAACCATAATGAATGACAATTTTGAGAGAGAATCATTAAGGATGAATGCTATAACACATGATTCATTCCTAAATTATTTAAAAATTACCTTTGAAAATCAATCTTTATCTAACTAAGCTAGTTAATATCCACATATTAATTATTATTTATAAAGTATTAAAAAACTCATGTTCGTGAACAGGAACTAAGTAATTGGTTGCCAATAATACAAATAATAGTAGCACACAAAAAACCAACCGATCATAGTACTGAAAATGATTAAAAAGTGCACAATGTTACATCTCTGCACTACACTTAGAATTTCGATTCTGAAAAATAATCAAAAACCATTTTGGATCCCTTTCTTTTTCCCTAAGAATAAAGGACTTTTGAAGCAACAAATGTTGATCACAAATAAACAGCAACAAAGCAGAATTGCTGCATAAAACCGACGATTAAGTGAGTAATTTTCATCGAAACAAATTAAAAGTGTTACGTTGCTCATAATGCTCGCGATTTAATGATGTCGAAGCTCATCTCACTTGGATCTGTAGCCTGTAATTCAACTTGAATTCCATCAAGTTCTCTCTTGAACCTGTCCTTTGAGCTTGCATACACCATCTTCATTCTCACCCTTGATGTGTCTGGAGACCTATATGTAATTACATGTATTTCACTCGATATTAATTATAGTGATATGTACCTAAGTGACGTAAAAAGTCAAAATGATGCATCTATTGATATTATAAACTTAATACTTTGTATGATCAACTGATGATGTCAACCAATGTATAACAACAATATATACAACATTTTATCAGTATTGTACTGTACATATAATGCATACTAATTAAGGTCATGTATGTTCTATTCATTTGATTTTTACTTATATTAAAACACGAATACGTAATAATGATTAGCACTTTTGTCTATAGTTGTACATGCAAGAACATGAAAAGGATGGCATACGTACCAGGCAATGAAGAAAATCTTGCTCTTCTGGCAGTTCTCATCAGTAGTGAAATCGAAGTCGAAAACGGCATAACGACATTCATCAGCAGGTAAAGAGTTAGTAAAATCGTCATAGCTCTCCTCAGGGCTCCCAAACTTATCCACCACCACTTGTTGGCCTTCAATCTTAAAGGTAATGAAGCGGTATGTTCTCTTTGCTTTTAGCTCATGAAACTTGAGCTTACATTCATCATCCACAGCCATACCAGACGCAGCGTTCGCCTATATTTTCGACCCCGAAAATTTCCCATTTCATCACAACCATATGGTTAACATATAGTACAACAAAATAGAATAACGTTACATGTAACAAGTGCTATTGTTGATTATCATGTAAGTGTTTCATTTTTGATAGATACGAAAGTCCCCCAAAGTAACTCAAATATCCTCATCATATATTCATGTTACAAATGTAGAATATGTAACAAATATTTATACAGAAAATGTATAGTAACGCTTTGTGACGTGCTTCACACTAACTATAACAACATTAAGAGTTACTTATGCAGTATCGACAGACGTCTATTACTAAACCTATGAAAAATTGAACCTAGACCAATGTTGTTCATTGTGATCTATAATGTTGGTAGACCAAAAGAATACCAACTTCTAATTATTTTTTTTCCCTTATTCCAATAATCCTAATTTTACGTCCATTTAATGAAATCATTCATGATTTATGTGACTAACAAAGGTTAATCCGGACTATATTTTGTGGGAGTACATAGTATCAAGAACATGACAAATGATAGTCAACTTGTGATTATTTTGGTTGTAAGGTAAGTTACAAAGAGTAAGTGATTTCATTGAATCAAAAGGTTCTATTTTAAAAGACAAGTACAAAAATTGTTTTTTCTTTTTTTCCTTTGCATTTTATCATCATGATTTGACTTTAGATGAATATAAATCGGAATTGATCTAGTCAATTACATAAACAAGTTTCCCGTCAGACGTAGCAAAGAACAATTCAAGATTATGGTACTACATGACATTTGTCAATCGCGAAATCGTATGATTCTTCTACATTGATCGAAATTCTATCCTAGAAAATGGTTGAAGAAAAAAAAAGTTTGTAGGCAACATTTGATCAACGCTAAGTTCCAACAACATACAATAATAACATCTTAAGATTGTGTTTTTTTTAAAAAAAATTCAAACAAATATATGATCATGTTGTACCATGCATGGCAATGATCATAAAGAATTAAAATTAAAAATGTAGAGAATATTCATCAACTTGTGGACATAACCATGCAAATTGATGGTTAAGTCTTCGTATGTGCTTTTAAACACGTCCCCTAAGTATTCATATTTTGGCAAATCTTAATTTGTAATAACAATAACCTTCGTTATAGATTATCAAATGATACCATTATTATATGCACGAATTTAAATAAAACAAGAGAAGCAATCAAGAAACGTACCATTTTGTTGCAGTTTGATTGACACACAATTGGAGAGGAAGAAACAAAGGTAGAGTTAAGAGAAATGAAGATGAAAAGGGAAGAGAGAGAAAGGGAGAGAGAATGAGGAATGTAGATAGAGAAAGAGAAGAGAGATCCTTGATTAAAGGGCAACCATGAATGGGTGAGTTTCTGAGGGGGGGGCAGAAAAGTGCGGACAATGAAGAGAAATTGATAAAAATATATTAATAAAATTAAATTGAAAGAAATAAATTAATGAAATTAATCACGTAGAAAAATGACCAGCTAATGAAAACCAAAGTGCAACCCAAAAATAAGCAAATGAAGGGCTGATCATGGCTACGACGAACTGTTCTTGTTGCCACGTCTAAGCTAGCTAACAAGTCACGTCCCACCACCTTTTGACTATTTTAATTATAATAATTTTTGCATTTTTGTCCTACTAATCCACTTTTTATTTTTCAATTATGGAGTTTTTAGGAATTTTACAAATTTAACATATGACTTATTTTATACACGTTGTCTAATTTATAATTAAAATCGTTTTTAGCAACATTAATAATATTTTGCAATGATGTAGTAAAAAAACTATACTATTCTTTTAAATTGTATTCTATTTATTTTTTGATAGGTTCAAGTAATAAATTATTTTGTGTGCTAAGATGAAAATTAAGTACAAAATGTATAAATAATTACAGTAAATAATTTCACAACTTTTACAAGAGAAAACAAGGATTTAGACGAATTAGATCACATAATTTATAAAAAAAAAAAAAAATAAAAAAAAAGGGTTACAGAGTATAAAAAATGCAACAATTCCTAAATAAGTTGATATATTATACTCTAATTACAAAGCCCAAATGTTAATGGTCTCCATTTTCTTCTTTGATGTTAATGTTGACAGTATCAAAATTGGTTAGCAATACTTGATATGGGCTGGACTAAATCAGAAGAACATACTTGATTCGTTATTTAAGTTGACATACATGATACATATACGTCATACGTACAATTCTAAGTTCGAAAATTAAAAGTTTTAACCACGTTTTCAATAAATTAATCTCAAAATTTTAACAAATTTTCTTCCAAATGTGGATAAATCAATTTTGGTCTAAATGCTTTTTGTTATGTATAGCACTCTTTTCCAAACTACTGTTGTTACGAACACAATCAAGGTAAGCTCCTGAGTCCCCACACCCATTAGGGAAAGGACTCTAACTTGGGACTTCAAGATTTCCAAATGAAACTCCCACCACTAGACCAAGCTATGGATACCACATTAACTGTAATCCTAATTGACGAGTAAAAAAAAATTAATTAAAAAACCGAAAAAAAAAAAAAAAAAAAAAAGACAAGAGCAGACCGTGAAGAAATAATCATAGAAATACAAAACTCATACAGCCTTACAGGCCGAATATGCAAAAATGCTCAACACCGAAACAAAATTTTCCAAGAAAGAGGAAGAGAAAGAGACATCTAGCATGATACAAAAACAAGAAAACTTTTATATCAAATTTTACAAATATCTGCCTTTTGCTTACAAAATAATGAATTACCTCAACTTCTGATCAACAATATCAACCTACAAAATTCACCACTTTTGGCCCTTGTTTCTTCTTTACCTTTGCATGATTATGGTTTTCCTCAGATGCAAGATCACCTTCAGTGTTCTTGAAGTCATTCTTGACTTTTTTGTCTTCCTCCAACATGAAGTCGTCCTCAAGATCATCCCCACCATAGAGCTTTGTAACTCGTGATTGTGACTGCTCTAGTATAGATACTGATAATGAAACATTATATAAGCAAACATCAGACGCTGTGGGATGTTGCATACAGCAGCACAAATGAATTTTTTTTTTTGACTCAATAGCATCATGACTAACAAGTGTCAAGTGATATCTCATAACATTCAACTAGATGAAATGGACATGCATTTAGAATTACCATCATGGTAATACAGATGATCAAGAAGCACAACACTCCATCCGAAAATGGCTACATTTCTGTTTTAATTCATTCTATAATGATAGTCCATAATGATTTGGTAAGTCAAACTTTGAAATTTCACATATTACCCCTATGAATTTCACAAGCTGTGTTTCATAATTCTAATATTTATTTCCTTTTCACGATACAAATAATACATTGATACCCTTGTAAGAATTACAAAATACTTCTATATCCAAAAAAACAAATCCTTCTTTGTAAATTTGGAATTGTGGGGTGGTGATGAAATTTTTTAAATAATAACGGAATATGGTATCTAAGCTAAATTCTTTTGAAATGATGCCAAATCAAAAGTGACCTGCGGAGTATAATAAGAGAAAAACAACACATACAAATATATTCTCAAACGTTCTTAGGTAAATCATCCCTTTCAATTACGAGGTCCGGGATATGTGTTCAATTGGATGTTCATAACTCGAGTCTCCTGCATAAGCAATTTAAATGTAGAAGAATCTGATCATTACCTCTTTTATTTCCAGCAGCTTGAGCACTTCCTTTATCTGGGCAATCTCTAGCTAAATGAGTTACACCACCACATATTTTACAGCACCCACCCTGCCCATCAATTAAACATTACACTTGTAAGAAAAATCCAGGAATATAATGTAATATAAATAAGCTAGATAAAAAATAAAAAAAAATACAAATATGTTGGTTTGCAATAATGTACAAAAGCTAGTTTTACCTTCACATATATCCCGTGTGTATTTTTAGGACAGTTCTTACTCAAATGTCCACGTTCATTGCATATAAAGCATAGGGCAAACTTTGTTCCACCTACGTAAACCCCAAGAAAAGGGAATAAAATTAACAGAATTAATTTGAAGATAAACCGAAGAAATGTATGTAATAACACCGCTATATAATAAGTATAGATGACCTTAAGTTCATGGAAGGTGGTGTGGACTATTACAAGCAAAAAAGTTTAAAGAACATAAATAAGAGAAAGCTTTGGACCAAAATCTCAAGTTCCAACTGATATCAGGTGTAAGATTCAACACGAGTACTGAAGACTTTACAAACCATTAAAAGACTATGTATACTTTGTTTAATTTACAAACCATTAAAGATATGGGTAAAATCACTTCTATATTCAATAATACTGTTTGGGTCCAATCCAGTCATCCTAATTGGCCAGTCCAAATAACTCAATGTAAAGCCCAAAGCAAGGTTCAACCTTCCAAAGCATGTTAAAGTCAACAAAACCCAGTCAACATGGCAAGCCCGCTTGATTTCAAGGGCCCAAACCTCCTCTTTCAAGCAAAGGTATAAAAGCCATCAACTGTCTCATTTATTGGACATGCAACTAAAGCCTCAAGCATAAAATCTCTTGCATAGCATTCTCTCTTAATTGAACTGATTTTAGCATCGGAGGGGCTTTCCTCGGCAACCACACCCCGAGGCTAGTTTACGTGTTATTTGCCGTGCAGGAAATCTATTGCTCCAGTGTTCTTTGGACCGAGATCAGTCTTCTCCTTAAAAAGGGATCTGCTGGAGGTCTCATTGTTTCCATCCGAAACAAATACTAAATTTTAATCTATGCAAACAATTTGCAATGGAGAGTGTACATGAAAAGCAAGAAGATACCAAGTTATGCGACAGGAGCCAGCAATCACGATGAAGCATTCTGCCTAAGTGATTTGTTTGTAACTAGTAATGAGTTGACGTGTGGAGAGAAACCACAAACCAGACAGCATCAAAAGAAGGAAATTACGTAAAGGTATAAAAACAATCAAGCATGTAAACTCTATTACTTTGGAATGAAGAAACAAAGAGCAAAAGCCAGGGAAAGCAATGGCTTGAAGTGATCTAAAGAATCTTGGGTCGAGCATTTATTGGCAGTTCGAAAAATCGTTTTAGAAAAGAGTGATAAAATTCTAGACCAGGTTGAACTGATTGAAAAGTTCACTCTATACCTGATCATTAACTAAATTAGATAGGGAGCTGAGCTTTGCTGAATAGGGTGCACATCAACCCCCAATATCAACCATGCAGAAAATGGTTTTGATGATGGGTCTATTTACAAACACAGGCCAATGAGAATAAATGTTCCAAAAGTATGAAAGAAAAAGACAGAATATTGACTCTAATTTTGCACTTCTAGCACGGAATGACTAGCTCTCTCAGATCATATAACTACAAGAGACCAAGTCTCATCTATGATATTGAATATAGATTATATGAAAGAGTTTTTAAGTGTCAAACAACTTAAGAGACATTCTCCTTTCGCCAAAACACAGCTTACCAGGTTACACCAAAGGAAGTTCTATCTAAAACTAAAATATCTGCGAAACGAAAGCCCAAAATGTGTACCAATATATTATAATCAAATTTCAAACAATTTTCCACATCAATAAATCAATCTAACTAGCATAAATGAAAGTTATTTTAACAACATTTCATATCAATAATCAATTTAAGACAATTCCGACAGTGAGAATCAAATGACACAGATAAGCATACCGTCCTGCAGTGGTCGGGGGCACATTGACAAGGAATGCCCAGTTTCACCACAATTGTAACATAACTTTTGTTCAACAACTTCTTCACTCTTGTTAGGGCAATTCTTCAGACTATGACCGCGTTGTCGACAACACAAACATATCTACAAAACAGTATAAAACATACACCAAAAACCAATATCAAGAACAGAAATTCAATAATCAATCTTCACATTCTAACTGATAAAACTTGCATTCTTTCCTCGAGTATTAATAATTAAAATGTTACATAAAAATCACCTATTACCCTTATGCCAATACAGAGTCTTAATTGCAACAAAATTTCAATCAAATGAAAAATTTACAACCTACCAAAATACCCAATAGCATATTCCATTCAATGTCACTAAGAAAATCAAATTTCATCAAAATTATAATTACAAATGCTCAGAAAACGAAAGAAAAATACCTTATTCCTTTCCCATTGAGCTTTTTCAGGGCAATTTTTAGCAATATGATGCAAATCCTTGCAAATAAAACAACAATCACCAGGCTTCAACCCAGGAACTCTCAAGGGTCTTCTAGCAAAAGAAGATTTACGGGGTTTATCATCTAGGGTTTTGGGGTCAGATTTATCGCGCTTAAATTTGGGTTTTTTGTTCTTCTTCTTCTTCTTCTTTTTGTTGGGGTCTTTAGGGGGAGTTGGTTCAGGTGTTGGGAATAAACCTGGGTTTTCTTGTTTAAACTTCTTTCGAGCTTCTTTCTGTCTTTTACTCACCATTTTTCACTAATAAATCAACTCAGAATTGATTGCTGCTTTTGTTGATTGAAGAAGAAGAAGAGTGAATTTTTAGGGGTTGGAAAATGGGAGGAGAGAAAGTGAGATTTGAGAAAGGAGGCACTTTGGGTGGGCTGCTAATAAGAACATATGTACATGATATTGGAGATTTGGACTGATGAGACAATGGGGGTTGAAAAGAGGATCCAAGCCCAATTACTTTAAATATCAAAATTATAAAACAAAAGAATCAATATCTGCACACATTAAAGAAAAATAAGCAAAAATTTAAATATTAAAATAATGATGGAGGAATAAAAAATTAAAAAAGAGGCAACAAAACAACACAATTAAGGAAGAAGAAAAGCAATAAGGGTTTCAATAATTTGGGGGAATGGGAAATAGTCCTTAATTTGAGATTGGTAAATATCTAATACTCTCTCCATTTTATAATGTTAGTCCCATATATTATTTTTGGGCATAATAGATGGAAAGATTTAACACAAAAGAAAAAAAAATTAATAAAATGATGTCATCAATATATTTAGGCGAGAAATTTTTTTATGAGAGCATGACGTGTGTACAATTTAGGAAGGGAATGATGTTAACGGTTTATACTTTAGTATTAGTTACTAGGTCAGTCCCGTGCGATACACGGTTTTAATTATAAAAATTTCTTGTAAGTGTGTAATATAAATATTTTAAGCAAAACATTACAAACCGTGATCCCTCTAATTAGATTAATTGAGCTAAAATGAGGAACATAATTAATCAATCATTTTCAAATATTAGTTTTATCTCGAAAAAGTTTTTTTTGAAAAAAATGATGTCAATAATAGTTTTGGAGGGAAAATTTATTATAAGAAATTGACACATGGAAAGTGATGATATCAACGGTAATTACTTTAGTATTAGTTATAGATTGAAGATTTGACTTTGAGTTTTGGAATTTTGTCCCAAGTTCCCAACAAACTTCATTTGAGAATCGAAAGTGAAAATTTAAAAAAGTGTTCCTAAATTTGTCTATGTGTCATGTGTGCCTCTTCTTCCACTAGCATCATGCTACATTGTCATTTCACATGTATTACCATCTTAGCTAGAAATAAATCATGTTCTATAATCCACATTTATGTATAAATACATATAATAAGTATTATAAAGTAGAATAAAAATCAAAAAAAAAATCCAAAATAAGTTATTGTTATCATTGTATTCTAATTTACTCAAAAAAAAAAAAAAAAGTCTTTTGAAGCGTCTAATGTAAAAAAAAAATTATTTAAAGTATCACTCGAAACAAAGCCCGGATCACACACTAGTTGATAATAACAAGTCACTCCTTCGATGTAGATATTGTCATTGGCTTATGGCTTTTCTTTTAACCTCAAATAAATGTGTTTCTGATGTTAATATTTTAAATCGACCTCCCAATATTCATCACTATTATTCTTTAGGGTTATTTTGACTTTTTAAAATATTTCGATGTTAATATTTTAAATGTGTTTCTGTAGTTTATACGCCACAGAAAACAGCAACATCACAAGTATAATGCATGCCAATTGTTAACAAAAATACAATAAACAAGTTATGCGGAAAATAGAAATTCAAAAAAACTTCAGAAATTCTTGTACAGTACTTCCTGTGGGACAATAACTATGAGCTGCCAATCTGCCATGAAAGTAAAATATTGTGTCCCTAATTCCAAATCACCCGTGAAAATGAAACTCAAATCAATGAATTACACCCAATAGCCAATTAACTACACGGCTAGCGATTGTTTGCAATGCAAAGCACATAAAATTGTGTGGTCTAAACTCAGTTCAACATGTTTGCATATCTTTTTCTGTGCTCCGATCCAATTCTTATTATAGAGGTCCACTTCATTTTTCATCTCTCTACACCACACACACACGATTCATTAGTCCATTCTCTATTCTATGTTGTTGTGTAGCTGTGAGTCCTGTGACTGGCATGGACATGTTGGATTCGTCCGTCCTAATATAATAAAATCAACTCAATTATTATGACTAGTAAGTTAAAACAGTGTGATGTGATAATTATTTTTGAACATAGAAGTTTTAATCACAGAATTTTTAAAAAAATATTATACAAAGTACAAGATATTTTAAATTAAAGAACTAAAGATCTGCTTCTGGAATAAACAAATGAAATATAAATACAAAATAAGTGTATTAATCAACCAAGTCTTCACATATTATCTTATGATGGTTCGACTTCTATCCTAATATGACTTAGTTTTATCTCTGATACATACATATATATATATATATATATCACTTGGTAGTTAGTACCCCATATCCATAAGCCATAACCTATACAAGGATAAGGGATAACATTACAATGTTCATTCCAATGGACAGCACTGATTAGCTAAAACTCAAAACGGTCAACAGCATTGAACATCGTCAAATTCAGGGCACCTAGAAAACAAGGCGCTGCATCTTCGTTCACTAAGCCCCAAACTTGGGAACTTTAGCAGTCGAGATCTGAGCTAGGAAGTGCTCAGCCACAATTCTTCGCTGGATTTTCCCACTTGCAGTTTTCGGTAAGAAGTCCGTGATGAAAACTTTCTTAGGAACCTTGAACGATGCCAGGTTTTTCTTGCAGAATTTTGTCACCTCTTCCTCATCAATCTCCACTCCGCCTCTTGGAATAACTGCGCAATTTATCTGTCCATGTAGCAAAAATAGATCAACGACCATCCAATCCTCACAAGTTCATAGCAAGAACCAGCATAACACAAACATAATCAGGTAAACTTAAGCAAACAAATTCCAGATTCTCAATGATAAAAACTTCAACGACGTACAACAAAGAGAGGATATTCATATAAAGCCATGGATTTCACTAGTATAACACGTTGTATAATGGTAAATGTACAAGTAATTAGACAGCTGAATTTCTTTCCTCCCCTAGTTTTTTGCAGCGCCTTTTTTAGTCAAGTGGTTGATTATCCATGAAAAAAGCATACCGTGATTATTTATCCACATAAAGCATCATTAACAGAGCATATTAATAAAAGTATCAAATCCCTTGAAGCATATGTCATTATCAGGTACATGAATGGTAATAGAAAGCATTGATCAGGCAATTTCAGTTCTGGAAATCCAACCGAACCACACACGATCCTAGAAACATCAAACACTACCAGCTCATGCCTTTTACCTCTCAACCACATCATGAGGCATGTAATGACTCAACTACACGTGTATTCGTCTTTTGGTGTAGAAAAGTAATATCCATAACATCCAAGTAAATAAGCTTACCACATCCACAAGTCATATGTATGGCATGATACGCAAGACATTTCTTTGAATGAACATTTCGTGATTAATTATGAAAGGACGAGACTAACAACTAGTCTTGCTTATAATCTAAACTCAAGAAAAGATGGAAATTAGTTCACACCTCCTCTCCATACTTGTCATCGGGGACCCCGAAAGCAACAGCTTGCGCAAGGTCAGGATTGGACAAGAGCACTGCATCCACCTCAATTGGTGATATTTTTTCCCCTGAAAAAAATTGGGCAGAAAACAACTTCACATATCAGACATTTTAACTTTTAACTCAACTTGAATGTATACGATCACACATATGGAATACCAAGTGGTGCATTATTTACAAACCAACGAAGGTGAAGAAAAAGCAGGTCCATTGAATAACAAAAAGACAGTGACTACTACCTTGGCTGACCAAGAAAACTTAGTTTACCAACCATAAAAAGCTACGTTCTATCACGGTTTCACCTACCCAAGTGCGGTTATTTTAAATAGGCCAGTATAAGATGATTCGAGTTTTACACTCCCAAAATCCTTAAAAAAATAGACCTCTTTCGATCTGCTTTCTAGACCATGCTGCAAACTACAAAGTACTATTAATAGATTTTTTTTAAATTCATGTACGACTCCCTTCAAAATGTGATTTTTTATTTAGGAACAAAGGCGAATAATAGGGATATAGAGACTAGAGCTACCAGACACGTCTAAATTAAATAGTCACAGGTAGGTAGAGGATTAGGAAACCCATATCCCATTAACTTTTCTGCATGGTCACATTCCATTAAAATAAACACTTGGATTTTCTTACGAACCAAGAGTCTAAGACATGTAAAGCGTTTGTGTCATAGTCTAAGGATAGCCTTAACCACATATGTACATTGCACATTAAAGAATATAGTTATATCAAGATTCCTATATTTATTTAGTTGACTAGGTTTAAACACTACTTAAATTTGGAAAGACTTGACAATTATGCCTGTTAAGTATTGTCACGTAACAAGTTCGACAAAGATAGTAATTAACCACAAACTTAGTAATTTAACAGAAAATAAGAAATTTAACACAAACAAGCGCCCAACAGCCCAAGGCATTACTTATTTTGTTAAACTCCGAACTAACTAGATAACAAACTTTGTCAATCTACTCCAATGTGTTCTTAAAAGTTAAAACAAACACCCTTGTTAATTAATTTAAAAATCACAATTAATAGATTAATGGTTTTAAACAAGTAGAAGCCAAAATAAGAGATATATACCTCCACGGTTAATGAGCTCCTTGATCCGACCCACCAAATGCAAATAACCATCTTCATCAAAAAACCCGACATCACCGGTATGAAACCACCCGAATTGAAAAGCCGCCTTATTTGCCTCCGGATTATTCTTATACCCTTTTGTAACATTTGGGCCCCGAATACAAACCTCTCCTTTAGACCTAGGCCCTTGAACCTGACCATTTTCATCCAAAATCGCCATCTCCTGACCCACAGGTCGCCCAACCGAACTCGCTTTATGAGGCCCATCCTCAGGCAACGGGTTAGAACACATTAAATGGGTTGCCTCCGTCATTGCATACGCTTCCAAAACAGGCGCACCGAAGGACTCCTCAAGACGGTCAAGAATTGTCGGGGCCAATGAAGCGCTGCAGCTCCGAATAAACCGGAGCTTCGGGTAATCCGTCTCGGGTTTACTCAGGTGGCGATCAAGTATGATCTGGTGAATCGTTGGAACAGCGGTATACCAAGTAGCGTTGTACGTCTTCATGTCACTCCAAAACGACGACGCAGAGAATCTCCCCGAGGCGGGGAGAGTCACTGCAGCGCCAGCACCGAGTGAGCTCAGCAGTCCAGCCATCAATCCATGAACATGAAACAACGGTAATACAATCACAGTCGAATCAGACTCAGTAATCTTATAGACAGCTTTAATGTTCCTAACAGTTGAGAACAGGTTAAGCTGACTCAGTGGGACCCCCTTGGGACGGCTGGTGGTCCCGGAGGTGTGGAGGAAGAGCGAGACATCGGAAGGATCGTTAACAAGTGAGGACACCGAGTAGTCGGGGTTTGATTCAGGGTGAGTGAATGACAGAGAAAGTTCGGAGTCAGATGAGGCGAGAGATGCGGCGGCATGAGGAATACTGAGCTTCGCAGCAGCGGTTTCGGCTGCGGTGTTGCCTTCAGGGGAAGTAAGGAGGAGTTTTGACTCTGAGTCCGAAAGGTAGAATTCGAACTCGTCTGTTGTGTAGGCTGCGTTTAATGGTGCTGC